GAAGCTTGCCACCCTGCTCGAAGCATCCCTGTATTCACCTTTCTCAGGGTCTGTTACAATTACGACATGTGTATGCATCTTGGTCTTTAGCAACCAAAGAGTTTCAGTTACTTCCTCCAAATCCATTCTCATGCTAGATGTGGTGTCGTATGCTAGGCTGTCTTGCACTAAAGATTTTCTATTGGCTTTCGGTACAAATCTCCAGCCACTTCGCTTTCCTCTCAACACCGAACCATCTGTATAGATAATCAGATCACCTGGGCGTGAATTGGCGTGAATCGATTGTTGGACTTTCTCCTCTGTAGCACCCGCTGGACATTCTCTGCACACCCGGCCCAATGTGATCATAACCCTACACAGGTTAGACTTTTCCGCTGGTACTCTGACCAACTCCTCTCCTCGTCCAATGTTCTGCGGTATGCATACTTGATTTATTGTGTCTTCTGCTTAAGCCATCCACGATTTTCCCCTTTTCAGCCGTGGACCCTTACCTGCTGCCATACCTGCCTTACCTGCTTCGTACAGAGGGTGTTCTTTGTCTGCAGCTACTCTGATGTATGACTTAGTCTGCAGCACCTTTAGCCTATCTGCAATAGTCAACAATGCAAGGATGTATCGCATCCACACAATTTGTGGCGTCTCTTGTACATCTTAGGATCAACCGTATGGCTTTATCCTGTATGCACTCCAGTTTCTCTAGCTGACTCTTCGAGACAGTGAGTAACCCCAATCCATAGTCAATCACTGAGATGATTAAGTGCTGATTCCAGAGACGTTGAGATAAATTAATCAGAGACACTGAACCACCTCTCTGAAGGGGGTATAAAACGAAGTCAAGCGTGCAGAAAAAGTTAGATAGATAGTTAGTTAGTTAGTTAGTTAGTTGGTTAGTTAAATTAGTTAGCAAGTTAGTTTAGTTAGTTAAGTAGACAGATTATCCTCATTGAACAGCGAACCATTCAGTCCATGGGACCCCTCGTTTGTAGCTGCTCACGACACCAGTTCTGTGTTGGTTTCTTATTCCTCTTTGGCTCCCCGGCTATTGCTCTTGTGCAGAAACTCGTTGTAAAGGTAAAGAGAGAAGCTATGCCAGTTATCGTCAGTGGTAGGCAAAGCTTGAAAACATTAAAATGGGTCGGACCGGTGTGCCAAGATGTCGACGAAGATATAAAAAAAATAAGCAATATCGTTGCTTGGGATTAATCCGTGTCAAATAAAATAATTCTCAACTCAACGAAAAAAATTATATTAACTGACAAACATGAGTTGAAAATGCATTGAACAACTAAAACGCCTACATTATTGTTGGAATCTATCCAGTTGCGTGAACGTGAATCCCAGACACATTTCAGAATGATAAAGAATTATTTTGAAACTGGAGAGCTATAGTTATAATAGTTATATATATTTTTTTTAAATCATCGTCCCAAAACATTGCGTGTCGTTCGGTCGTAAATTGCTATTGACTGATCAGCTCCCTCCACCTTTGAAGGTCAGATGTAATGAACATCATGGATGCAAGCCAAAGACTTGTCAAGTCAGTCAAGTTCTGTTTCCAAGTCTTTCTTGGTCTGCCTCTTCTCCTCTTCTTTCTTTACTGAGCCCTGTAGTATGTTTTCGAGTGGGCGTTAGATCATAGTACATGTTCATACCATTGTATTTTCCGTCTTTTAGCTGTAGTTAAAAACGGTTTAGATAGCCACATTACGCATTGTAATAGAGCAGAGCATTAAACTAAACTCACCACTTTACATTAAATTTATAGACTATGAAAACGCATTAAACAGCATTGACAGGGAATCTCTCTGGAAATTGATGGGGCACAGAAAATTATTAACTTAGTAAAGGCAACATATAATGACATGAAATGTCGAGTTCTTCATGAGGGAAAGCTAACAGATGCATTTGAAATAAAAACAGGTGTGCGACAGGGATGTCTTTTGTCGCCTCTCTTATTTTTACTGGCTATAGACTGGATTATGAAAACACTACCTGCTAGCACCAAGAATTTAATTCAGTAGACCCCTACAAAACAGCTTGATGATCCGAACTTAGCTGATAATATTTCTCTTCTGTCCCATTCACGGAATCAGATGCAAAAATTAAATATACTTGATGCGAGATCACAGCAGCTTGGTCTGAAAATCCATAAAGGAAAGACAAAGATAATGAGAATAAATCAGGCAAATAGTAATGTGGTTTCTCTTAATGGCACCCCACTCGAAGACATGGAGTCATACACGTATTTTGGCAGTAATGTAGATGAAGATGGAGGAACTGATAGAGATATTAAAATAAGAATACAAAAGGCAAGAGGAGCTTTTATAGCACTGGGAATTTGTGGAGGTCAAAAGAAATTAAAAGAAACACTAAATTAAAAATGGTTAATTCTAATGTCAAATCAGTACTTTTGTATGGGGGGGGGGGGGGGGGCGGGGGGGGGGGCGGACATGGTGAACAACTAAGGCAATTACTAAAAAATTACAGACATTCATTAACTGTTGCCAGCGTAGAACAAAGGGAAATAAATGGTATGATAGCATAACTAATGTAGAGCTTTGAGAGAGAACTAAACAGGCTCCAGTGGACCAAGAGGTGAGGAGAAGATGCAGGCGTTGGATAGGACAAACACTGAGAAAACAGGAGAACAGCATAAATAGAATATCCTTGCATTGGAACCCACAAGAGCATATGAATAAAGGAAGGCCAAAAATCACATGGAGAAGAGAGGTGGAGAATGAAGATAGAAAGATGGGGAGGACATGGGGAGAGTTCCATGCAATAACGAAGGTTAGAACGACTTGGCGTGAGTTGGTTGAGGGCCTATGCTCCATTGGGGGATAGAAAGGCAGAAGAAAAAAAAAACGGTTCTAGTTGTCAGTGTGCTAGGTAATTACACGGCGAACCGTGTCATTTTTGACGTGGTCTCACTATAAAAAAAAAAAAAAATTTCGGGACAATATTTGAGTCTGTTTCCTTCGATCGCATCAACACTTCAGGAGTTCTTTTCAGGGCTCTTGGAAGCATGCAATGCTAAGCTTTTATGGCGTTCATCACCTGGACAGCAAGACAGTTGAAGAGGAAGTCGGCATTGTGACACTTGAGGGGGTAGGGAGCGGGTTTAAAAGAACTCGTGTAAGTATAGACATCTGAATATGAATTGACACAGCAAATCAGAAACAATAGCAACCATAGAAATGAGATGTCTCAGAAGGTCTGCATGAGTGACCAAAAGAGATATAAACAGGGATGAGGTCCCAATAAGGCAAGTCGGCACATAAACAATTCTAAATTACATATGAGCACAGCAAATCAAATGGTTTGCACACTTATAGAGAATGTCTTGTGACGTCATAATATATAAGACATACATGAAAATGGGGAAATGATGTAAACATGAGGTAGACAAAGAGGAACATGGAAAGCTAACATCAGAAAAACTCTACAGCAGCAACATGTGTTTGGTCGAGGCGGTCAGACAAGCAAGAAGCACAATCTTATATCTCCCTCTATACACAAAGCGGTAAAGGAGGAAATAGGAAAGAAGAAGCGAACTTTTTTTAAGAGGATTACAAATTGGGTACGCAGGCCTGTCTAGCATTCTGCGTTTCCAGATCCACTCCTTGCATACAATTATTCATTTCTGCTTTATTGAATACTTACTTTAAAAAAATGTTCACGACATCAAGATTATAGGTCTTACTTACAAAGGCTTGTAAGTTCTTCAATTATGCTTATATTTGTGACCTTTAAAAAAGTATAGTTATAAACATAATCCAACAATAACATAACATAACCCTTGATCCGTTGGGGGCGTAGATGTGTATCGATAGAACCACCAGCACACAAAGTCCGCAATCTTTCTCTGTCTTCCGCTTGATGAATAAGTGTATGATAACTTAGTTGTGTCCATTTCTTGATATTGTCATTCCAGATTTATTGGCCCTCCTGTTCTTCGAAAACCACCCCCCCCCCCACACACACACACACCCTCCCCCTTTAATGTTCTTTGAAATACATCTTTGCAATCAAATCATGTCACACCACGTGCCCAACACAAGCTAGCTCGCTACGTTTCACCACTGCCAAGAGAATCTCATGATGTCCAGCAAACTTGCGTATTTTGTCTCTGACTTTCTTTGTCTTCTAAATAACTAATTCGTAAAATTCGTTTTTAGAATTTACATTCGAAAGCCTAAATCATCATTTCCATTTCCACAGCGAGAGTCCAGCTCTCACGGCCGTATAAAGAAACAGACCATACCGTTTATTTATTATATATTCACCTTAACTGCGATGCTGATGCACAGCTTTGACCCCCTGAATGCTAATTGGTTTATCAAAATATGAAGCTAGCCCACTGTAACTAGTACGTTAAATAAAAGTTACATTGAAAGAATATGGTGTGATATGTCTTGCCATATAAAAGAGGTATTGAAAGACTGCAGTGTCATGTGTCTAGCCATCTAAAAAAAAGTTATTGAAAGACTGAAATGTCAAATTAGTCATATTATTACGTCTTTAAAAGTATTTGAAAAATAGCATGTTTATTGTTATTCTTTGCAATAATGCTGACTACATTTAAAAAAAAATCGATATCAAAAACTGCTATCCTCAAGCACTTCTCTTTGCTCAATAACAGGTATAAAACGAACATTCTACATTAAAAAAGTACGTACGCTAAGCGAAATATTGCTTATCTTTCACAAGGACACATCCTTGACATCAATGACTTAATCAGCAGTTTTAGAGTTTGTGAAGCGTAAATTTTTAGGTGGATACTCTATAAATAAAAGGCTGCCTAAAGTTTCATCAGCTAAACGACATTCAACTGAAACACGCACGATAATTTATTATATCATTCCCTGAGACTGTTGGAGCTTCGGAAACGTTATTTTATCATTAAGTATTATACTTATAACTAATATTCTCGCATGACAGTGGGTTATTCAGTTCGTTAATGAAAGCAGTGTAGCTATACATTAATGTTATAGACAATGATGTTTCAAGCAATGACAACGGGTTGGTTCCTAGCTGTGGTACTCCTTGGAAGCGTCTGTGTTGGCCAAGAGGAGCTTCTTGTCAACCCGAGCTTTGAGAATGGTATCAGCGGCTGGAAGCATGATGTCTTCACCATGGATGTGGAAACGACGGAGGTTCACGGGGGCAGTATGGCTGTCAAGTGCTACGGAAGGTGAGTTCTGACCATGATGTGCTCTTCGTCACAGGTTCTTAAAACATGGGTTGCGATCCCATTTGGGCTCGCGAAAGAGTTTTTCTGTGAGGTCACTGGGAAATCATGACCTATTTAAAAAAAACATCATTGCGTCTTGCAGAGATTCAATATTATTGTGATTTATATTTAACTGAAAAGTTTGTGCTTAATGTGTTTTGATTTACCCTATTACAGAGCCATTTTTGTTTTTTTTCAATATACAGGTCAGTTTGCCTTTTAAAAAAAAAGGGGGAGGGGCTGGCGACTAGAAACACTTTGGGATCTCTGCTCTACTATACTAGTTGAGCCGATTCAAGAAACGACATCGCAGCATTCGGGAAATTCACATAAGCGCTTCGTTCCCATCTTCGGCAGCCAACTCAAGAGTTCCAATACCTGTTGTGCCAGCAGCAGTCTTATTATGTATCTGTTTTTGCCTTTTCACTGAGGGTCGAGTCATAGTCTCTACCTGAGTCAGCTTTTTACTTCCTCAGACCATCTGATATTTTAATCAATTTGCTGTTAATTATTTTATTTGTGTGTATGTGTGTGTGTGTGTTTGGGGTCCGGGGGGGGGGGGAAGGGGGCATTATGTTTTGCTTTATGTGTTCAATTTTCTCTGCTTTGTTCTATCTCTGTCCTATTTTGTTGACACATGAGATACTTTTGTGTCCATTCACCGTTTATTTCATGTGTTTTCTTCAAATTGCTTTTTACTGAGTGCCTTTCAATTGACAATACGTGCAATTTTCGTATCTTCCCTGTCCACAAAATTCGAAGTATTCTGTTCACATACCAATTACTAAAAAGCCACTGGGGGCATTGAAAAAATGCTTGGAAAGAATTCAGTTATTGATGGACACTCACTAAAGTGACTAAAGGATAGAAATAGAGGATAGAGGACACGGCAGACTTTGAACTGGTTCAGTTTCTCCATTGCAATGGAATGCAACAAATGGGTCCCGTAGAGTAAATATTTGCGTATTCCTTTCTGGTGGTTGCAAACAAATCCCCAAAATGAGTTTAAGGTAAAGTCCAGGGTAGTAAAGGCGGCCGGCGTGGTGTTGACCACATCCCCTACGCAGTGCCGATTGGTGGATACACATATGAGTCTGTCATCCCACGCCTTACACGCCAATGGCGTCAGTTCCTTTTACTTGCATACGTACTTATTTATATGTAACACACAAGGTCTTGTGGATAAAAGTCTAACTTTTCTCCCAGCAGATGAAAATAAAGCCAATAGAAAAGGATGAAGACGAAGAATCAGCAGCAGCAGCAGCAGCAGCAGCAGCAGCAAAAGCAGAAGTATTAGTAAAAAAAGGAAGAAGAAGAAGATAATTGATGATGATGAATGAATAGAGGAATTATAATAATACTAAGAAGAGTAAGAATAGATAATTTATACCTGAGATTTCTTAGTTTTATTTCTAATAATCTCTGTAATATAGAACTCAGTCTTGGCAAGGCCCTGCCCAAGATGTCAAGCTCAAGCTTGGGGGCAGATATGCCTTCAGTTCTTACTTCAAGCTCATCGAGGATATGCCACCCAAAGGGCCTCAGCCAGTCATGATCAAAATTGCCATTGGCTACGATGACGGTAAATATATTCATCTCTGGTTTATCATCTGTGACACTTTGAACGTGCTATTAAGCCAAATACATTTTTGAAAATGATCACAGCATCAGTTACATATGTACGATAACAACGAGCTTATCTAGCATCCGTGCATAATTATCACAGAAAGCAGAAAATGTACATAAAACATGTTCTTTTTCACACAATTTGCCTTGGCTGGACTTGTCTTCGATGGATGTTCTCGTCTTGTCTTCCTCTCGCAACAATCAGTTTCCCGTTCTCGTTCTCACGAACACTCTCACGTTTTCTCGTTCTGACGGTGAACACATAATAACTGATCAGACTGGGGTCTGTTCTTTTACACATTGTTTGTTCCACGTGGGAACTCGTGGTTGTTCTCATGTCCCACGTGACGACCTGTGATCGTTCTCCTTGGGTTCCACGTGAGCACACCTGGTCGCCCCTATCTTGAAAACCTCGGTTAATCTCTCGGTATTTTTGTTAATCTTGGGCTTTCCCCCAACCTCCCTTATCAAGGCGAAAATATCCCCTTTTACACTATTCAGATGTCGCCCTTGAATGTAGGGCCTCTAAAACATCTCTTTCCCTTTCATAATAATTACTATTATTACCATTATCACTATCATTGAATGGCAGATGATATAAAATATTTCGAGTGTTTTTTCACACATATTTTATGGTTGTAGATTATATTATATGAGATGTTATGCAATTTTAGTCATCGTAATAATTTTCTCCATAATGTTTCCATTACAAATCATCTTTTTCTCAGACCGTTTGTTTCGCATTTTTCAAAGCCTGGTGCTCCATTTCCGATTTTTTAACTTGGAGCTCCAGATAGAATTCAGCCTTTTTTCACTTCAGTTTCTACCAAAAACCACTTTCACTGCGCACTGCACATTCTGAACCATGGTATGAATTTCTAATAATGCGCATTGTTTAAGATGGTACTCCATAGCATTCCAAAAACTCCCCATATTAAAATTAAATGCAAGCTATCGAAAGTCTTCTTGCAATCAGTAAAATTCAGGATGAGGAATAATTGCTTCTCAATGTGTTTTCTTTAAAATAAGCCTCAGGCTGATTACTTGATTCAGACAACTTTTTCCATTTCGAAGACCAGCTTGTTCTTCTCTCATGATTGAATAAACTGCTTCTTTACTTCTATTCAGGGTTACTTTGCGAAATGGATTTGACCTAAACTTCAAAATCGTTATAGACTATATTATTTTTGATTAGTCTCACAAATTATTATACATTTAAAAGTGAATGACACCCACCGTGATGTTTCTTTATTGCAGGCACTACAAATTACTTTGAGCTAACCGGCCGTGTTCGTGTGACTCCTGAGGATGGATGGGTGCAGCTGGGGTCGGATTTTATCTTTCCAAACAAACGTAAGTATAACAAACACATCTTCACATTTGTGGCGCTTTTTGTGCAATTAATTCCCTCCCCCGCTTATTCTTCTTTCCGTTTTTCCTGTCAGGATAGCTGTCTGAAAGTTTGACCACACTTTTTTTGTCGTCTCAATGATACCAGGCTGTAGCCCAGTGTCGTTGTTTTCTGTATTTATTTTATGCCTTTCGGGTGGCGTGGTTGATGGATTTGTTCATCTTTTTGCAGGTTTCAGCCACACCATTTATCTTTTCTTTGGTCTTCCCCTTGATTTTATCCCAGATATTCTATGATAGATATGCTATAAAAAATCTCACATGCAGTTCGATATGGCTGCATTTTTATTAGAGGGCCGAAACATTTCATTCTTTGTCTGTCAGTATAATCCAGACATGGTCTTATTGCAGCTTTCTCTATAATGCTGGTATTCGTAACCCGGTCCCTGCCTGTGTTATGATACCAGCATTTGACCACACCGAGACTATACAATTTCAGTCTAGATGGAAAACTTTCAGGGCAGACACCACGTTCAACCTCCAGTTATTATTTATACGTTATAATAAGATAAGTTATTATTAGAGCACCTGTAACGGCAATACCGGCTTGAGGTAAACTGCAGACCGTGTGCGTAATGAGTGTTGACAGCTTTGCATTTCATGTCATCATCATCATCATCATCATCATCATCATCATCATCATCATCATCATCATCATCATCATCATCATCATCATCAAGTATCTTGCCGACAGGCCTAGGCAATCATGCCTCTCCACAATCTGTGATCTTCAACAGTATGTATCGGTTTGGGTGTTGACACCACTTCATATCATGACAAAAGGCTGCCAAAAATCTTCTCGCTTTGTCTGTCTATAACTTTTTTTTTCGGTGCATTTAATTTAACGCTAAGAAGCCTTCCCCTCGGCTTTTTGCGATTTAGGCATATAGGGCTGCACTTTATTGTTAAGAACAATCAGCACTCGATGGGCGATGTGGTCAACATAAAACCGGCCACCTTAATTTCCTAGGAGTTTACCTGGTACCCGTTTAAGGCTGGGTTGATCTAAGAGCCAAGGTCATTAAAATCCGCAGCCGAGCGTCTCGCCGCTTCATTAGGACGGCTCCCATTTAGCATTTCCTTTAGCAACCATTAGAGAAGGAAGTCAAGGCTTGTGAACTTAAATGTTATAGATATATTCTGATATCCCATCAGTCAGGGAACAGAAATGTACCGACATTCTACAGCGTCAAAGAAAGCCGAACAATACATTGTATTTTGTTGTGAAACGAAATTACCAGTGAAGTGTTAAACATCGTAGCGACTTAGATCCCATTATCAGTTCCGAGGCCCCATTTGTTGGAGGGAGAAAAGTGGGGTGGGGAGGAGAATAGACTTAGTATTCCCTAAAAAGTATATAATAAAAGCGAATAATTCACAGTTTGCTGAAACTGGATAGGCTAGACCAAAAGGCGATAATATCGCAGCTTTGCTGCTATATCACAATACAAACTGCCAGCCGCTCTGTTAAAGACGAACGCAGGAAAAAGAAAGATGATAACTAGGTTGTGTCCACTGAGGTATCTTCCACGACAGTGTACACGTACTTACAGTTATCTTCTTGTTGTTCACGACAAGGTGATTGATCAGTTAATCAGTCCTAAGCTGTGGCTGATCTATGTGCATACACATTATTGACTAATCACTTTAAACCTTGCTTCCAAAAAAAAAAATGTAGTTTGAAGATATGGACTGACAACATTTAATATCGTAACATTGATGCTGTGTATGTCTCAATAAAATGTACTTAGGAAAAAAAAAAAACTCAACGTGCTCAAACATTTATAATCCCAGCGTACACTAGTGCAAAGCTGTACCTCGAGGGACCGGGTCCAGAAGTTTCGTTCTATTTTGACGATGCCAGTTTGAAGGAGATACCAGAAGACACTAATTGGGAAACTGACGCTAATGCGAGAATTGAGAAACTTAGAAAAAGTACCATACATTTTAAGTAAGTAAACGATTTTTTTTAAACATATCTGTTATACATCAACTGGTGTATGAGGATTGAACTAGTGTAAGACAGGCCTGCGTGCCTAATTTGTGACTCTTTGAAGAAAAAAAAAGTTCCTTCGTTCCTTTTCTCGCTCTCTCTCTCTCTCTCTCTCTCTCTCTCTCTCTCTCTCTCTCTTTGTGTGCGTGTGTTTTTATGTGTGTGAGTGTGTGTATATATATATATATATATAAAGTATCTTTTTCTACGGCTTCAGATATGTGGGCATATAGGGCTATACACGTATTACAAGATAAATAACAGAAACCCCAAAATGCTTGTACAAAGAATGACACAGGATGTCTCCGTTCAACGAATGACCGCCTGTCATCGACCAAAGGCGGCAGGAGGCAAACGTGCTACAGAGGCTTTATTACGTGTATATTAAACTAACAGACAGTGTATGGATTGGCACTCGTATCAAGAAGTAGAAAGATAGAAGGACACACTAGACAACATAAAAGTCGAAAATTATAGTTACGGTGCCCGAAATCGAACGTGCTAACCCTAAATCCCGTGTGCGGCCTCACTAGGGAAATAAGTGTACTAAGAACATGTCTGGGCTTCAGATGAGACGAAATCTAATTATGTATGTATTACTGATTTTTTAAAACAATAATTAAACAAAGAACAGCTACAGAAACACTCGTACTGAGCAAAGGAGACATTCTGAAGATTATTTATGAACGAATGTTGATAGAAGACACGACATTAGATGAAATAACATGAGTAAGAATGTGTGCACTAGGAATTAGGTGTGGATCGTTCAAAGAGGGACATGAGAGAGGATAAGGGCGAGTTTATAATCAGTGTGCTGCGTAAGCAGTTACCATTTACACCTTAAAGCTTTTGCTGTGAGAGACGGAGAAAATATAGGTATGTCCGGTGTGCTGTAATGTTGATTCTTAAATGAGTAAATACAATAGGCAGTTTCGGAAAATTTCGGAAGCTAAGTATTATCGAAGACATACAGATCTTACAACTTTTTTTTTTTTTGGGGGGGGGGGGGGGGGGGGGGGGGGGGGGGTTGAGGGGGAGGCTAAGGTGCCTTACTCCTTTGAGTAAAATTTTGTTGCTGTTTAATGTTGTATTGCGTGCCTAATATGATATCGTTCTTTATTTACTCAAACAGGTTTCAGGTTGGGTCAAATTTAGACGCCAAGGACATCGAAGTTCAGGTAAAAATGTGTCTTGTTCAGCATATGTAGTTCTGCATTTGTTATTCTGCATTCTGTGAGTGTGTTGCACGCCAAAACTAGCGCAACTATAAAAGATCCCTTTCTTCTGGGTTCGCCCTTGAATGTGCAGTTGGCACGTTTACAGCTAGGCTGTGATACATGCGGTCTTTCGGGCCCACTCATCTGATTTCAGCAACCCTCTAATTAGTAGCCTTTTACCACATGCTTGTTCGCTTGTTAAAAGGCAGCTGGTTGCCCCTCCCACCCTCCCCTATTAAATCCCAAGTGGAACCACGGAACCCACACAGAGAAATACACGATCTGGAGGCGCAAAAGGCAACGGCATGTCTCAGAAACTGAGTTAGTCGGCCATATTAAACTCAGTAGCGGTTAAGAAAATACATTCCAGGAACGCTTCATTAAAGTCTTCAAAAACAGTAGAGATACTACGGATGTTTCATACATGTCTGGAACAAGGCAGGGATGTGTTGTCTATCCCCTTTCATTCATCGCTGATATTCAGGGCCATTCAACTAAGTTTACTCTGGGGCCAAATGTTGGAAATTAGGGATCGTCACGGGCCAGAGCCAGAGCTTCAGCAAAGAAAAATCAATAATACCATACAATCGGCAGGTTATCCGTGGGCCATATTACAGGCCTCTGCCGGCCAGATTTGGCCTCCGAGCCACCAGTTGAATAGTCCTGGCTTATATTATCATGTTAATCACAATTAAAAGAAACAATAAAATTAAATGTACTTTTCTTTGCGATGACCAAACCCTCGTACTAAATAACATGAGACGGAAAATTACAGCTTTACTGTTTACATGCAAGATTATCAACTTCATTAGGGAGAGAGTTATGCCACCAGTCACCGTCTCTCATGGTCGGTTGATAGTGAAAACGTTGCACAATGCAAGCAATCTGTAATTCCAGCAACCATTCCTAGGATCTCTGAGACATTTGGAATCATTGACTTAACGACGGGATTCCAAATTAAACTCATAAACATAAGAACTTAATAACTTTGCCGCCATTGAAAATACAGAAAAAACTAGTAGTAGTACATTTTACCCCACTAGATAAACACCCGATTACACAAAGTGCCACCATGTGGATGAGGATAACCCGTGGAGAGGTCCCGGAAACCGCGTTCAGCATTTAGACCATATTTAGGGTCGGGCTATATTGCGGCCCTGGAAAAGGCCAGGGTGGGGTTAAAAAATAAGGAACAATTGCATCCCACAAGGGAATGAATAGTGTCAATCGCGTGAAGGATACAGAAGATAGAGAACAACTTAACTGTAAAAAGTTTACTTTACTGACAAAAAAACATCACACGAAGATTACATAAAGGAAAGAGAAGTTACGGATATCACAAAGGGAAGATAAAGAAACGAAGATCAATCCTGAGAAAATTTCAAGTAAATGACACATTTCAAGCATCTTTAAAAGGTAAAGTCGGGAGATGTGAATTAGCATCATTGCACACGGCTTTAAACCATAAGTGCTATGCCACCAGTGTGGACAGCTGATAAAAAACTCTTCGCCTGTGTCGCCGTCCGCCCGTAACTCCGTAGCTACGGCGACGTTCCTTTATTCACCCCAGTGCCAACTCTGGTACCCATTTCATAGAGGCTGGGTGTACCTTGGGAACAGCCCGGTTTTGAAGACCGATCGTGGCTGCAGCGAGTCGCAGCTGGATTTAAAAGCGAGCCTCCTATCGACTGCGCTAACGCGGCATCTGTGATGTAAAATATCATTCGACGGGACAGAAACAGACTAAGAGTTCGTCTCCGTAAACGAGGGGTTAGTGAACTATCTAAAGCCGCTTTATACCTCTCTTAAATATATATATATATATATATCAAACAAACAATGCATTGATCGGCTCACATAGAAAGGAGCAGAAGGACACACTAGACAACAAAAAATTGAAAGCATTAGTTACCGTGTGGAAAATCGTATCCTGTCACCTCCGAACGGAGATGTTTATGTCCTTCACATATGAGCAAAACACACAATATCTCAGCAGATGTTTCATGCTGAGTTCCCCATAAAGGGAAAAATTCATCAATAGAGAAAATGTAGACTGTCAAAATAACACATAATAATCAATTTAATTTCAACTGAAGAAAATAATGATCTCATTGTTTCCCCTTGAAGATTGACCATGTCCGCCATCTCTTTGGTTTTGGGTCCGTGCTTCGAAGTGACTTTCTCATAGACGACGACTACAAGCAGTACCAGAACATCGTGCAGCACATGTTCAACTGGGCGACCATACAGGACTTCAAGTGGCCATACAATAGAGGCACACGGGTAAGCAAACACTATTGTAAACGTAAATAATACATCTCCTTTTAACATTGTTACACCAGAGGGTTTGAAAAAAAAAAAAAACGTAAAAGTGTGATGGAAGCTGCGCGCATACAACGCCATATTAGACTATATTGCCCAATGAAATTTCTCCAAGTTTCACCCCTTCACTGATTAAAAAAAAAAATCCCTGCGCTCGCCTGCGGATCGGAAGGTCGTGGGTTCGGATCATGGAGTCGACTTTCTCCAAAACTGATCTTGGCTTCAAAGTCAAACCAAGTGAAACTGGTACGAGAGGCAGTTCCGGGAAGTAAAGTACGCCGGCCTGAATGTCAGCACATCACCCACCATGTTCAACACGATTCTGTGTGAGCTTCTCTTTTCAGGGTGGCAGGTAATAAAATGACTTAGGCCAGTGTTTCCCAAATTGTTCTTAGTCGTAGGCGCTATTTTTTCAATTAAAATTTGTCCACGGCAACCTAACTGAGTAAAAGTATGACTATTCGTATGTAAGAGAGAAAAAAAAAAAAAATAAATAAATAAAAAACTAAAAATCGTGTATCTTCGAATATCTTCGAAGAGGTCGCGGCTCCCCTGGGCGCCGCAGCGCACGGTTTGGGAATCACTTAGGCTATAGCAGGTCGACCTGGTCTAAATGGATGCCAGAAAATATCGTTATGATAAATAGGGGCGAGAAGTGGTACTGACTAGCCGGTGAAAAAGGAAGTGGACGAACAACCATAATTTCTGTCGAAGTTTCAAGCTGGTGAACGCAAAGAAGAAAAAAAAAAAATACGATGATACATTCTTACTAATACGGCAGTGACAAAGTCACAGATGATGTCAAAAAGCAAGCAAGGACATCATCTGTGGCGTTATAAGTAGACCTTCACTGATTTATTAACAGTTCGTTTGGCACTGTAATAGAAATAAACGTGTAAGTGAATACAATTACTCAAGTCTTACACACACACACACACACACACACACACACACACACACACACACACACACACACACAGACACACACCTTCTTATAAATAATAAGTAAAAATTGTATCTGTATGTTTCATTTTCAGTTGGCTTCTTTTGCGCAGAAATGTATTTCCTTAGGAACATATGACATTTCACAGCTACGTCTTGCTGTTGTTTTTGTTTTTTCATAGCTAGCTTTGAACATTTCTGCACTGATCGTTAATAATTAATACTTAACATGTAAGCATGTATTTGGTTAACTCTATGTGCAAAACTCAGTTCGTGAAAATACTTTAAAAGCTCTGACTGATTGTGGCCATTTCTATAACAGGAAAATCCTGACTACAAAGCTGCAGTGGCGGCAACCGACGCACTCCGCAAAATGGGGTCAGTAAAGTGTTTTGTGTTTTGTTCGCTTATGCTGTTTGTGTGTGTCTTTTTATATATATATATATATATATATATATATATATATATATATATGTTATATATTATATATAGGTATATATATATATATATATATATATATATATATATATATGTATGTATATATATATATATATATATATATATATATATATATATATATATATATATATATATATATAGTTAGTATGTCATTTGCTGTAATATAGAAATGGGGAAATAAGGTGTTCAGTGTTTTGTCCCTGTTTACTAATTTTTGTATGTGGAGTTAGCATGTCATTTGTTCTAAAACAATAGAAACAGAGACAGGAGGGTTCGTTGTTTTTAGCCATGTTTACTGTTTCTCTATGTGGCATTAGTATGCTATTTGTTTTAATAGGAAAAAAAGTGTTTTGTGTTTTCTCTCATGTTTACTGTTTTAAGGCGGAGTTAGTATGTGTAAGACAATAGAAACATGAGAAATAACGGTGTTCGGTATTTAGTGTGAAGTTATTATCTTGTTTCTTGTAAATAATTTTTAAAAAAGTTCTTACTGATGAGAATTTGAATCTAAGATCCAGGCAATAAATACAACATGGAACTTAACTAAAATGCGCAACAGCGGGAATGGAACAGACAGGCACAAATGCAACTGATCGTATAGACCGAGACCTTATCTGTTGGCACCTTTCCTTCTTTCCACACTGTGCTATAGGGAGGCTAGGACGTCATCGCTCATGTCGATGGCGAAGGTGACTAGCAAGACCAGCTTGCACTGAGGAAAGTCGACCACGATTATAGCATAGGATTTCACGACTGTTGTCTGGAGTAGGGATTGGAACACATAGGCATTGGAGGATAATCAAGCGGTCTGTTAGACGCTGCTGTTATGGTGGCTGTCGTAAATATCTTTTAACCTAGATTTTAAATAAAAATAATAAAAATAAATTTACACAACAAAAATTATTTTGACCCAATGTTGCAGGATAAAAGTTCGAGGTCACTGTATGTTCTGGGCAGTGAAGGGGAATGAGCCAGATTACGTATCCCCGTTAACTGGTCAGGACTTGAAGGACGTTGTGGATGAACATATAAAGTACATGACCAACATTACGAAAGGAAAGTATGTTACTTGTTTCTCTGTGTTATATTAAACAAAAATGTTTATAATCCATGTTACAGGAAATCACAGTTTCAAATTGTATTGAATATCACATTGGACAAATAAGAAACTATAACGTTACACAGCCAGAGTCGGTCCCATCACATGTTAAATCTGACTTAATTACAACACTCCGAATAATGACTCTCTTCCGTCTTTCCAAACGATAGTTTTGTATTATTTCCTACGGAAGCATTTGAATCACAGCCTACGGCGATGGGCAGTTAACACAAGGCATGAAGTTTCTCCTGTCTGCAGCACAAAGCTTGGGCATTGTCGTGAGGATTTTGTGTTGCCCGCGCAGCGCTACCTCTCGCTAGGCCTGCCTTATTTACTCCAGAGGAAAGGTAACACCAGTACGTTTAGAACAAACATGCAGCAGAAACTACTGGATCAGAAGATACATGTTCTGTATGTTCATCTGATGGAGCTTTCCTTCTGGATCAGCTGCAAACAAAAGGCTAAGGGCGTGGTCATCCTTGCTATAACATTGAAAAACATATTAGATCATAACACAAAAAGAAAGCATCTCGTATAGCGAAAACGGGATTAACGCAAGATAAAGGCACTCATTTATATAGGTCATTGCATGATAAACAAGAAAATGTAGAGAAGATTCAAGAAAAACTTTCCTTGGCAGATTTATGATGTTGGTTGGGACAATCTTGCAAGACCCTGTGAGATGTAACACTTCCAATGCACTGTGGCTTAACCGTTAAGACGCTGGAGACAACACGCAACATTTTGAATGAAAATCTTCTGTGGCTACACTCATGACCAGTACCAACAAATATGTAATGAGTTAAAGAACTCACTTTCTAAATTCCTACGTCAGAAATCACTGGAGTGTGAAAGACCCATACTGGAACTTCATATTTACAGAAAGATATAGTAGAATGTGGACAGTCATGTTTCAGCACAGTACAGAGTATTGTCTCAGGTTTTGCCTGGACCTGTTAATGTTGCTTCCACATTATTTAGGTATTTTATTGTGAATAGACCCCAGTCAAGTACTCACAATACCAGTGGTTCTCAAGCTTCCTAATGCCCGACACTTTAATACAGTTTTTTATGTTGTAACGACCCTTTAAAACAGTTCCTCGTGTTGTGGCAACCCCCAAACAAGTTGAGAACTGCTGCACAATACAATAGGATTTAATTTTTTAAAAAGTGACAAATAGTATTCTTCGATCATTAACTGGAGAAATATTGTCAGTAAAATTAGAACAAGCTCCGATAGAAGATATGAATGCTTCCAAATAGACGTTCGCCCATGGATCAGAAGGTCAGGGATTCAAGTCTGAACGGAACCTGACTATTCAAAAATGACATTGTCTCCCTACTCCACTCAGCCTTAAATTGGTATTAGGTAAAGTCATGGAAAGTATAGGCGTTCAGTGTTATGTTTACCGCATCACCCACCGATTTACGATCGGTCAATAAAGGTAGGTCTAGCATTGTACGCTCAATATGCTTAGGAGCCTCGAAGAGGGTCCTTTACTTTATTATATTTTATAGGGCCCCCATTTTATGATCCTGGAGTAGCAAATGATTTGGTAGGCTGCACGGCACAATACACGTGCGGATAAAGCTATTCACACGCTGAATAAAACAAACATGGTCTTGTAAATTTTCTTAAAGTTCACTCAGTCTGAGTTTCCGCGAATAAACGTTAATCTTTATCTCATGCTTTGCTATCATTCACTGACAAAGTATGATCTTTTATGAACCAGATTGTCGCACTGGGATGTGAACAATTAACTGTTACATGGGCGGTTCTACGAGGATGCCACTGGTGATCAGAACTTCACTTTCCACATGTTCAAGGCGATCCACGCCGCAGACCCGACTCCAGACTTGTTTCTCAACGATTATGATGTTGTCGCAGGGGGCGGCCATACTCTGGTAAAACAAAAAACATTTCTAGTGTGATTTGTTTAGCTTGCAGGCTGACGTCTGTATAATGCTTTTACCATGCCTACATTCACTGCTTAATCTGTTTCATCTACAATGCTTCCCGTGTGGGTTCCGGGCCTCCACTTTAAGAAAAGTTAAGAATACACCTACTGCCCCCTAACAAGCATGTCGTACAAGTCGACTGATTAGTTGTGCTTCCTTTAACATCGAAGTGCATCTGCATGAGAGATGAAGACCTAACACTTTGCATTCAAATAAGCCAGATCAATAAAACAGATGTCCACGAAAAAAAAAAAAAATGCCAGAGTCTACAGCTGATGAATGCCAAGATGAGGAAGAACCTTTAGTTCACTGGCTAAATGTTTTGATTTTTAATTGTCATATACCCTTATTGTTTTTTTTTTACAATAATGTATAGAAAGTTCATATTGTACCAGTAATTGTCGGTGTTGATTTGTCACCACCGAGTGATTTAGCAGATTTTGCTCAACGTTACAGCTGTGAAGAAAACTGTTAGTGCTTACCTTGAACAATAAACTACAATGGGCGAGACGACAAATATACCTAAGTTTCGATGAATTATAGAAGTGAGCGAAGTCAAATAGCACAAATGTAGAGGCATTTCACCCCTTTTCCCTGTAGTGCATTCGTTTTCTGCAGGGCGAGAAAGACCATGTTTAAATTAATAGTTTTTTTTTTTTTTTAAACTAAAATGCGATTGATATTGCAGTCGGAAGAGAAATACTTACACAATTCAAGAATGTAGGCTTTTAGTTGCAATCATAACATCAGATCAACAATGAATTGTAGAGTTTCGAGCAGGATATGTCCAAACTTAGGAAAGACCACAGATAAGCTGGATTTAACAAATAGGTCTGAGCTTTTAGGTTAGTAGAGTTTGAAATGGACTAAATGTTCGGGAAATAAAGGAAGGGCAAAGAGTGCCCAGTCAGCAGGAGTAGCCCCCACAATGTTTACTACTATTGACTAGTCCTTACTGGAAACGAAACCATATGTGAACGACAGTGGTTGCCTCCTCAGAAAGCTTTGAGGTATACGGAAGTGGAGCACACAGTTTGGCACCAGGAAGCACTATCTTGTATTACGTAAAACAGCCAAATAACATCAATGAAACAAAGAAACCGAATAGGAATTCTAAAAGCACAACAGTCGCGAAGGATAACCATGGAAAGATCAAAGTTATAAAACAAAAGCTTCATCGGCGACTCGGTCACATATTGGCTCGCCGGTAGACGACTTTGTCGCCTGCCGGGATAGTATTTGGGTTTGTCTCCTTTGATCGCATCAATACTGCAACATTTCTTTTCAGGGCTCTTTGCGGCGTTGTCACGAGACGATCTCAGTGATTCCAGAAGTTAGTACTTGTAATAAGTTCTTCTGGTTCTAAAGAGACAGAATTATATTTACTCTGCGCTTTATCCTAATATTACTTTAAACCAAATTGATTTAAATGTTACCAGTCCTTCTCCCAGACAAAGCCACTGCGCTTTGTTTAAAATTACCTAACACTACGTGATACAGCCCGCTGGTTCAGACTAGGGATGTGAGGTTGGATTCTCACGCCAGTGTCAGAATGTTATCTCCTGACCAGACTGTAGAGATTGAGCGGACTGTAGACATTGAGGCGACGAGAAGTTTAAAGTTTAACACGTCAGTGTAATTCTGGAGAGAACAGCTGTTTGGCAATTAGGAATGTTTTATCTTGGTCAAGGTCGTACTGTAGGCCGTTCACTGTGAGTGACAGGTCACTGGTTAGCCAATTTGATTTGATAGGTACTTCAGAGGCGGAGCTTAAGCCATCATCTTGAGGGTTGGGTAAAAACTAAGGAAAGGGAGGAGTTTGATTTGGACAATAGATTAATACTTATACTGCGGGCATCGTAGATTTACCTCATAGTGCCGCCAGCAGGCCACAGACTCAGACCTACCGTTGAAAAGTACTTTCTCCCTGGTTGAGTCGTGTTCGGCATTTGCGGGAAAAGTTTCCAGCGCCCATGTGACGATCAGTCCATGAAGTAGCCTACATTGTGTTAGACTCGGCCAGCTGGGGACGAGGTGGAGGACGAGGTGGAGAACGAGGTGGGGATGAAGTGGAGAATAAGCTGAAACAGGCAGAAAACAGGCAAGGAAGAGTTGGACAAGCTTGACAGTTCCTCACGGCTGTCAGAGGCTTATAAGATAAGTTAACATCATTTCCGTTAACAAACCACCATCATCATACCACTCTAAATCCCGGAGCTGTTTGTCTCGCTGACGCTTATAACCTCTTTACGTTAACCAGTCACTGTTTGTGTAAATCAACAAACTGGGAATTTCATTGTAGTAAATAAAGCTGTAGGTCAAGTTTTAAACTACATAGTTTGTTAAATTCCAAATGTCTGTTCTTACATGTTTAATTAAACTGTTAAGATAGAATACCATTTGGTGGGGGCTCAAATAATATAATAATTCTTTAATTATTAATAATAACACCGGGAGAAGGTAGATGACGGAGGAATCACTTGCCCTGTCTAATAATTCATTAACATTAAGTATGATAGACATCTAAAATTCCTTGCCTTCTCTTGTGGGTACCAAGTTCAGCTAATGTTAATATACTTAACGAGCCAATATGGCTATTTTCTTGGATATCCAGGACTTTGTCTGAGAGCAACATAGCTCAGATTTTAGTTCGGTGTATCTAGTGGAGAGAATGTGTTGAAAGGAAGATCCCTACTCAACAACATAAACATTTAAACCACGCGTCACGTCACACTGGCGAGCTCGCCGAGATTTGGACGGGGCTAATTACTCCTAGACTAATGAAAGTAAATTTTTAAAATTTAACTTTAACTTAACTCTTCTGCCAGTATAGTCTAAATTAAAATTAGTAATTTATACATGGGGAGAGATTACAGAGTAATAAATAACTTTTTACTAAAATAAATAAATGGATAGTATCATGTCTTATCATTGATCACTTTATAACCATTGATTATTGTTTATTTAGTAAATTTTAATGTTGATTATTATATTTGCTTGCATGTTTCATAATTTGATATAGATTGTAGAGCATTATATGTTGACATCATATCATTGATACTTATGCTTAGTGACTGAATGTAAAATCAGATCATATCATTTATTGGTGTATCCTCTGTGCTGCTATACTATTCTATCAGCTGTCAGTCTGGTAGGCAACTTTGATTCATTTACATCTTTGTGAGGCTGTCATAGGCTACTCTTTTGCCCAGTTTACCTTGCTCTGACATATTCTTTTATTCCGGAATCGGGGTAGTATTATATTTATCTTTAGATAGATCTAATAAGATATTATGGACTTACGCACCGAGTTCCTAAAAGATGTAAGGAAGTGCGGGATAACTGAAGGTAGAGTAGGAGTACAGTTAGAATCATTTGTTAAAGGCCATATGGATACTTTCGATTACATGAGTGCCCATAATGCTGCAGAGATGAAGCGAAAGTTGGAGAAAGAAGAATATGACGCGATGCTTGCCCGTCATGCAGCGGAGAGGCTAGAAGAAGAGAGAATGCGGCAAATTGAAGAAGAAGAAGATGCTAGAAAGTTGCAACTCCTAGAGGAGGCAGCTAGTGAAAGAATGAGGCTTTTTAAAGAAAAGCTGCATAACTATCGACTTAGGCAGACGAATAGAGAACTGCAGTTAGACACAGGGAACGGTGAGAACACTATTAGGGTAGTTGAGGGAACTGACAACTCCCATACTGACACTCTGGTAGAAAGGTCTGGGACTCACTCTCTCAATGGAGAGGTGTGTACTATTGTGCCAAACGGTACTTTATCGAGGGATGAAGTAATAGACCACCCAAGACCTTGCCTCACCCCTGTTATTCCTAATAGTGACAGAGCTGACATTAAGAACTTTTCTGTAGGGATGACCGGATCTACATTGCTGGCCCCATTTACTTCCATTCTTAAGCCTAAAAGGAAAAGATGGAGTAAGAAACAGAAATCTTCAAAAGGGACCGGATCTACATTGCTGGAACCCCTTACTCCCATTATCTCAGATGAGATATATGAGAGCACACCCCGCAGTAATCACAAGCGTGATAACTGTTCTGACCGTCGACATACTGGTTCGACTGGCACACCAGCCATTAATGAGGACGAGGGCAAAGACTTACCCAACTCCCATAATCCCTTTGGTCCTTCCAAACAAGAAGAAGAAGTAAAGCAGACTAATGTAGGGAATAACACTAAACCTGTTTCCCCTATTTCCCTTGATGCGATTGCATACAAAATAGAAATAGTTAGTTCTGACTTTTCGCCCAAAGTAGTTGACTGTGATGGTAGCGACAAATCCCCTTATTTGCCTCCACTAGACTTGGTATGTGAAAGCCAGACCAGGGCGGAGATAACAGATAAGGAGGATAGTTCTCTTAAGTTCTTGACGACCTTAGAGACAGTGAGTAAACAGGACATTGCTGCAAGTCCTGTGCACTCTGATACTGGACAGACAGAAATGTTTGCCATTGATGAAGAAGAAGGTACTTCTTGTGTGCAGGGAGACAAATTGTCTCTATCCTGTACAGCTGGGGCGACAGGGATACTTCGGATGAAGGACCCTGAAGCGGAACAAGCCATAAATAGTAGGGAACCCCAACATTCTGGTCTTGTATTACTCTTCGCTTCGAAGGAAGTGACAGGGGTATCTCAGCTGATAGTGGAAACTTCATTGCGAAGAAATGCCACTTTACTGTCTGCAGGAAACCCTGAGTTTCCCTAATGATTTGACTGTACCCCCTGACTTGATTTCGTGCTCTGATTCTGGACTGATCTTAATGAAAGAGAATTCCACCCGGACAATTTGTAAAACAGATAGGATGCACCTAGGAGGAAACAAGTGGACACTCCTTCAAGAAATCGGCAGTGGTCAGTTGCACTCACGGCATGCTGTCATGATGAGTGACTATATCCCTCAATTTGAGAGGAGATTAGTGACAGATTTTTTCAGGATCTGTAGATGTAGGAAAAGAGAATCATACCTGACTACAACTCATCCTTTTCGGAGAGCACTTCAGGCCCTCCCTATGCTACTAGGGCGTGGCGAAGTGAGGAAATGGACAGGGACTGTCAATCAACGATGTCGAGGAATCCCATTGTTGAAGCGGAGAGCATTTCTTATCCTGCGGGAGAAGAAACCTCCAGATAAACTGATATTACTGAGCAGCTGCTCAGAATACCCGCATGATTCTAGGACTAAGGATTTAGCCTGGAATGAGGGACAACTGGTGACTGTACATCGATGCAGGACATCACGATTCCACAAGGAATACTGGAACAATACTGGAGATGACAGGTTGTACTAACATTCTTGGGAATCACTGAGTATCGTAAAATTGGTCTTAGTGGCTGCGACCAACTTAACGGAGGGCCTGTCACGAGACGATCTCAGTGATTCCAGAAGTTAGTACTTGTAATAAGTTCTTCTGGTTCTAAAGAGACAGAATTATATTTACTCTGCGCTTTATCCTAATATTACTTTAAACCAAATTGATTTAAATGTTACCAGTCCTTCTCCCAGACAAAGCCACTGCGCTTTGTTTAAAATTACCTAACACTACGTGATACAGCCCGCTGGTTCAGACTAGGGATGTGAGGTTGGATTCTCACGCCAGTGTCAGAATGTTATCTCCTGACCAGACTGTAGAGATTGAGCGGACTGTAGACATTGAGGCGACGAGAAGTTTAAAGTTTAACACGTCAGTGTAATTCTGGAGAGAACAGCTGTTTGGCAATTAGGAATGTTTTATCTTGGTCAAGGTCGTACTGTAGGCCGTTCACTGTGAGTGACAGGTCACTGGTTAGCCAATTTGATTTGATAGGTACTTCAGAGGCGGAGCTTAAGCCATCATCTTGAGGGTTGGGTAAAAACTAAGGAAAGGGAGGGAGTTTGATTTGGACAATAGATTAATACTTATACTGCGGGCATCGTAGATTTACCTCATAGTGCCGCCAGCAGGCCACAGACTCAGACCTACCGTTGAAAAGTACTTTCTCCCTGGTTGAGTCGTGTTCGGCATTTGCTGGAAAAGTTTCCAGCGCCCATGTGACGATCAGTCCATGAAGTAGCCTACATTGTGTTAGACTCGGCCAGCTGGGGACGAGGTGGAGGACGAGGTGGAGAACGAGGTGGGGATGAAGTGGAGAATAAGCTGAAACAGGCAGAAAACAGGCAAGGAAGAGTTGGACAAGCTTGACAGTTCCTCACGGCTGTCAGAGGCTTATAAGATAAGTTAACATCATTTCCGTTAACAAACCACCATCATCATACCACTCTAAATCCCGGAGCTGTTTGTCTCGCTGACGCTTATAACCTCTTTACGTTAACCAGTCACTGTTTGTGTAAATCAACAAACTGGGAATTTCATTGTAGTAAATAAAGCTGTAGGTCAAGTTTTAAACTACATAGTTTGTTAAATTCCAAATGTCTGTTCTTACATGTTTAATTAAACTGTTAAGATAGAATACCATTTGGTGGGGGCTCAAATAATATAATAATTCTTTAATTATTAATAATAACACCGGGAGAAGGTAGATGACGGAGGAATCACTTGCCCTGTCTAATAATTCATTAACATTAAGTATGATAGACATCTAAAATTCCTTGCCTTCTCTTGTGGGTACCAAGTTCAGCTAATGTTAATATACTTAACGAGCCAATATGGCTATTTTCTTGGATATCCAGGACTTTGTCTGAGAGCAACATAGCTCAGATTTTAGTTCGGTGTATCTAGTGGAGAGAATGTGTTGAAAGGAAGATCCCTACTCAACAACATAAACATTTAAACCACGCGTCACGTCACAGGCGTGCAGTGCTAATCTATTTTATTTGGCGCACATATCAGAGTCACAATTATAACGTTAAGCTCCCCTTTCGTGGATGCTGATTAAACGTGACAATTTTATATTTGTCCCTAGCACTGCGCCAAAGCAACAAAATCTTTTTCAAGCTGGTTTAACGCCATTGTATATTTCCTTTAAGCAAGCTACTCGTCCTTTTGACCTTTATATGCAACAACATTTTATTTTTATTTCCCATGTGTCCAGGAATACCTTGATCAGATCAACACGTTTAAGGCCGCCAAAGTTGGCTTGGGTGGCGCGGGTGTACAGAGCCACTTGCAGGACTTGACGGAACCAGATCCAACATTGCTCAAGGTAAGTCAGTGTTAAAATCATGAGTGCTGGGATATTTATCTCTGAAAATAAACAGTCATAGTGAGATCAAATGTAAATATTAAGTCATCATTAGAATGAGTTAAGTTGAGTCAAGAATTGACATCACAACACTCGGGGCATTCCCATGCATGCTCTGTCCCCATCTTCTGCAGCCAGAGTTCCAATACTGATGGTACCTGTCACAATCTGGTTATATGTCCGTCTTGCCTTTCCTCTCAATGTAGTAGGCCGGCCACACCCTCTGGTTACATCCGGGTGCCTCATTCTCTCCAGGCCATAATAATGTTCTTGCTCTACTGATTCCGTTGCTTGTTCCCAAAGGACATTGACCACATCTGTCTTGCTCGTCATTAAAAAAAAATGTAGCAATTGTAAAATCCTAATCAGAAGTCGTACATTTTATAATTGGCAACTTTTTTGTTTACACATACACACATACACAGATACGAACAGGCGGAAGAACTGATCTATCAATGGATAGATAGATAGATAGATAGATAGATAGATAGACAGACAGACAGACAGACAGACAGACAGACAGACAGACAGACAGACAGACAGACAGACAGACAGACAGACAGACAGACAGACAGACAGACAGACAGACAGACAGACAGACAGACAGACAGACAGACAGACAGACAGACAGACAGACAGACAGACAGACAGACAGACAGACAGACAGACAGACAGACAGACAGACAGACAGACAGACAGACAGACAGACAGACAGACAGACAGACAGACAGACAGACAGACAGACAGACAGACAGACAGACAGACAGACAGACAGACAGACAGACAGACAGACAGACAGACAGACAGACAGACAGACAGACAGACAGATAGATGGACAGATAGATAGATAGATAGACAGATAGATAGATAGATAGATAGATAGATAGATAGATAGATAGATAGATAGATAGATAGATAGATAGATAGATAGATAGATAGATAGATAGATAGATAGATAGATAGATAGATAGATAGATAGATAGATAGATAGATAGATAGATAGATAGATAGATAGATAGATAGATAGATAGATAGATAGATAGATAGATAGATAGATATAGATAGATAGATAGATAGATAGATAGATAGATAGATAGATAGATAGATAGATAGATAGATAGATAGATAGATAGATTGATAGATAGATAGATAGATTAGATAGACAGACAGACAGACAGACAGACAGACAGACAGACAGACAGACAGACAGACAGACAGACAGACAGACAGACAGACAGACAGACAGACAGACAGACAGACAGACAGACAGACAGACAGACAGACAGACAGACAGACAGACAGACAGACAGACAGACAGACAGACAGACAGACAGACAGACAGACAGACAGACAGACAGACAGACAGACAGACAGACAGACAGACAGACAGACAGACAGACAGACAGACAGACAGACAGACAGACAGACAGACAGACAGACAGACAGACAGACAGACAGACAGACAGACAGACAGACAGACAGACAGACAGACAGACAGACAGACAGACAGACAGACAGACAGACAGACAGACAGACAGACAGACAGACAGACAGACAGACAGACAGACAGACAGACAGACAGACAGACAGACAGACAGACAGACAGACAGACAGACAGACAGACAGACAGACAGACAGACAGACAGACAGACAGACAGACAGACAGACAGACAGACAGACAGACAGACAGATAGATAGATAGATAGATAGATAGATAGATAGATAGATAGATAGATAGATAGATAGATAGATAGATAGATAAGATAGATAGATAGATAGATAGATAGATAGATAGATAGATAGATAGATAGATAGATAGATAGATAGATAGATAGATAGATAGATAGATAGATAGATAGATAGATAGATAGATAGATAGATAGATAGATAGATAGATAGATAGATAGATAGATAGATAGATAGATAGATAGATAGATAGATAGATAGATAGATAGATAGATAGATAGATAGATAGATAGATAGATAGATAGATAGATAGATAGATAGATAGATAGATAGATAGATAGATAGATAGATAGATAGATAGATAGATAGATAGATAGATAGATAGATAGATAGATAGATAGATAGATAGATAGATAGATAGATAGATAGATAGATAGATAGATAGATAGATAGATAGATAGATAGATAGATAGATAGATAGATAGATAGATAGATAGATAGATAGATAGATAGATAGATAGATAGATAGATAGATAGATAGATAGATAGATAGATAGATAGATAGATAGATATATAGATAGATAGATAGATAGATAGATAGATAGATAGATAGATAGATAGATAGATAGATAGATAGATAGATAGATAGATAGATAGATAGATAGATAGATAGATAGATAGATAGATATGATAGAGAAGGAGGAAAGCAGAGGCGGAGAGAATATCGTACGTGCTTTGTCCTTGCGAATTACAACTGTGTGATGTTACCGATGTTTGCATCATTGTTCCCCAGGCTCGGCTGGACCACCTAGCCAAAGCCGGCGTGCCTCTCTGGGTCACAGAACTGGACTTGGCAGCACCTGACGAGACCAAGAGAGCAGACTGGTTAGTTGTAGGCTATCAATTATTATGTATCACCTGCATTTATTTATTTATAAGCACGGGCAAGCTTGCCAGCCTGACCGGTTGTAAAAAGTCAGTTGCACTAAGCCCTTGAGAATCAGTCACCTTGTCTTCCCCCTCTCCCAATACCCTTCCCCAAGATTTTAGGAGGGGGTGGGGCGGCTGTTGGGGTTGGGTCTGCAACGTCCTGTAAGGATACGCAATTAACCTCTGCACGGCTCTTCTCAGCTGCACTAACTCAACTCCTCGACTGTCCCTTCCAGTATATACACGTGCGAGTTCTCCGTGAGCTCTCCGTGTTAATTGAGACGCCCACACTTATGCACGTCTTACACTTTTTTTTCCCTCATACCTTCGTGGCCCAGCTTTGCTCGACACGAACTTGGTATGGCAAATTTTCCCACGCCGGTTGACACCTTGAGAATCCAGTGGTCAACTCTGGTCCTAAGTCAACACATAATCAAAATATTCAGGCTGCGCCGACAACACATACTTCCTAGTCAACGAGCCTGCACTAGATCCAGCATAAACAATGTTGATATACCCGAATCTACACGCAACAGCAACTTAGACGTACATTCGTTGCCACAGAACTTATTCTTTATTACAAGCACGTTATCAAAACATTTAATGTAGTAAAGCAAACAAACCAAGAATTCGGAAGATCCACCTCCCCTCCTTTTTTTTTTCACCCCCGCCCCCCCCCCCCCTTTTTTTTTCCACCATTGCAGCGTTCCTCAAACAGAAGAACAAACGCCCCAGCAATTTTTGGCTGTTGTGATTTTTCTAGGCAAAATTTACGTTCAGTATTTTGTATTGCTTACTGAACGGTCACTCCAGGTATCACTGTCGAAACCAGCGCAAGACAAATCGTCCGTCGCTGGGATCCAACCCAGCACCCCGGCATTACGAAGCGCGTTTAAAACGCTAAGCCACAGACTTTAGCTACATACAGCATAACTCAATATCAGTCAGCTGACACAGAAACTTCTCATACACAACATATTCATTACAGTCCTAGGCTACGAATGCCAGACATTGTCATTCACAACATACTAAAAAAGAAAATTAATTTTCAGACACATACATTGGGACTAGCAGTTTATGCAAACAGATGAATCCGTTCTATAGATTAAAATCAACTTGTTTTCAGGCATGAGAAAGTTCTTCGCCTCTACTTCAGTCATCCAGCTCTTCATGGAGTCATATTCTGGGGTTTCTGGGATCACGAAACAGATCCACTTAAAGCAATGGTTCATGGATATGGATATACCGTAAGCATTCGTCCTTTAATAAAATTATGTATTCCCACCCCCCCCCCCCCCTTTTTTTTCTGATCTCCCATCCGGTGACTAAAAAAACCGCCTTTGTTTATAAAAGTTCAACTAGAAAAAAAAAATCTCAGAAACCATGTTCAACCTCATGAAAAGCTGCCTCTACTTTACTACTTCTTATGACGGTGCAGAACATGGGTTGGGGGAGGGGGAGAGGGGTAGAAGGAATAATGATTTAAGACTTTTTGCCTGTAGGTCTGGAAGTTTTGAATCCCCATCAAAGCCACATTTTATAAGCTATTGTTAAGCTCGCTTTTGTTTGTTCTGCTGGTTTTGTTTTCTTCTTCAATGTTTTAAAATTAACATGAGCTACTAAGTCGAGCAGTCTGTAAAAGTCTGGACATGAATAACAGCAGTAAAACCGTAGGTAGTACAACAAAATATCAGTATAACAATGTTGCACTAAATCAAAACTAAGATCAGTGTAGCAATTGAAAAATACAAATATAAACTACTTTAGTAAGCAGATTAAAGAAAATGCATGGGTAGTTTACAAATTCGTGCTAACAGACTGCATTACTGTTGTCCTCTGAGTATTATTTTTCTTCCTTTTTTGTGACCCCGCTCCTCTTTTCTTGTTGCTGTTGTTGTTGTTGTTGTTGTTGTTGTTCTTCTTCTTCTTCTTCTTCTTCGTCTTGTTCTTCTTCTTCTTCTTCTTCTTCTTCTTGTTCTTCTTCTTCTTCTTCTTCTTCTTCTTCTTCTTCTTCTTCTTCTTCTTCTTCTTCTTCTTCTTCTTCTTCTTCTTCTTCTTCTTCTTCTTCTTCTTCTTCTTCTTCTTCTTCTTCTTCTTCTTCTTTTTCTTCTTCTTCTTCTTCTTCTTCTTCTTCTTCTTCTTCTTCTTCTTCTTCTTCTTCTTCTTCTTCTTCTTCTTCTTCTTCTTCTTCTTCTTCTTCTTCTTCTTTCTTCTTCTTCTTCTTCTTCTTTCTTCTTCTTCTTCTTCTTCTTAATTTTCTTCTTCTTCTTCTTCTTCTTCTTCTTCTTCTTCTTCTTCTTCTTCTTCTTCTTCTTCTTCTTCTTCTTCTTCTTCTTCTTCTTCTTCTTCTTCTTCTTCTTCTTCTTCTTCTTCTTCTTTTTCTTTATCTTCTTCTTCATCTCCATCTTCTTCTTCTTCTTCCTCTTCTTCTTCTTCTTCTGCTTTTTCTTTGTTAGTCTCTTGCTGTTTCTGCTTCTTCCTTTTCCTCCCCCTTCTCCTACTTCTATTCCTTTTTTTTCTGGTTCTTCGTTCGCATTTGTTCTCTCTCTCTCTATTCTGCTCCTCTTCTTTCCTCTCATACAGCCACGCCTATCACTTTTTTAAGATGTTGAAATTTCATCTTATTTTTTCTCATTACCATATTTTGCACTTATTGAAAGTCTAAATGATTTTTAAGCGTAATTTTTAATTAGTTGTGTTTTTGGTGTGTAAAATAAAGATAAGACTGGTCGCTGACATTAAACTGATACATTCTCTGTTGACACAATAGCTGGATGAAGCTGGCAAGCGCTTTCTCCGTCTGACCAAGAAAGACTGGAGCACCCACATCAACAAATCTCTGGCAGACGGAACATCTTTTGACTTGGAGGGTTTCCAAGGCGACTACAACGTGACGGTGTACTATCGAGGGAAACCCATACAGATTAGTTCCTTCTCTCTGGGCAAAAGTAACAAGAATGTCAATATCAACATAAATGGAGACGGAAGTAAGTATATTTGGTAAATATCACAACATACGCTGTAACACAAGCACATATGACTCATTTGGCAGTTTTGTATAGCAAAATATTAAAAGGACTGTATGGCCCTGGTCCTTCTGATAGTGTTTTAGAGAACATAACTTCTAGCCTTCTGGACACATGTAGAAACTTAGAAGTCATACGTTTTAATAATCCAACGGCTGTTGGAAATTGAGAAAACAGGACAGTGTGATGCTACTCGGGCAAAAGAAATACACACATACGCGCACACATATATATATAGCATACATGATAACATATATAGTTCTAGTTACACACAATGGAATCCTTGCTGGTGATACAGATGAGTGCGTTGTGCTTGGATTCTCTTTGTGTGATATTTGGAAGTATGCGGGAGCTCTTTCACGAATAAGTTTACGCAGTTTAAAGGGATCATTTTTCAAATAAATCAGACTCAACGTGTATACTGTTGGATCTGCTGAGACGGCGCCTGTGTCAATGTGTTTGTTTTTCACAACAAGCAGTGACGAAAATTCTGTGTGTTTTTCGTTGGCACGGGAACGGAGCAACCATAGGGATGGCCTGTTTGCTATGAAGTTGAAACTGCGATTACCTGATTACCTATTATCTTAGAAACAAAAAAGATACCTTGGTCTACGTTCGATGCTACCTTGAAGCAACATTATTTGTAGGGTCTAGTGTTGTTTCTCTATTGACATAGCTACACAAAAATAGCAGAGATTTGTTGTAATAGTTGGGAATTGTCTGGGAAATCTTGTAGCGCTTCCAGGCCCTCTTTAGAAAAGCAGCACTACTCCCTACCCCAGAGGGGTCAACAAGCGGGGGGTCGGAGTTCTTCTGTCTGAAAGCTAGGTACCAATAGTCTGTATAGAAGTAAGACAAATCTGTAAATCAGACTTGAACTCAAAACTCAAGTTCTGGAACAAGACGAAAGTCCAGAAGTGGATGAACAACCAGACCTTTCCGCCTGAAAGCTACTAAGAAGATGACGCCAGGAAAGGACATGAGTGTTAACTACCCTCTCCCTTCATTGCAGTGAAAACAAAAGTGTTCTCTACAAGATCCCTACGCCAATAACTTCTAAGAAAGTTAACCATAATACTCTAAATTTACACAAAATAAATAATATTTTTTCCAGGTGAAATTAAGTTACCTCCTGTGGTGGACCCATTCGAGCACGTGGACATCATACACGAGACAACGACTCAGAACATGTACGTAGTCGGACAAGCGGCATCAACATCCACCTCAGCAAAACTGTCATGTGTCACCCGGAAGTCTGCAGAGTCAGAGATCGGGGACGACATGAACGCTGATGTCGCGTGCAACAGTGATGAGGTTCTGACTGGGTGCTCCAGCTACCTGAAGGTAAATAGGGGAGTGTAAATGACATTTATCAGTTTGCAGTATACATGAATTTAGTATCGACACACACTGAACCATTCAGTCTCTCTATGAGTGCTTGGATTTCCTGCACAGTAAATGCAACAACTTATAGCGGATTGCGACACCAGTTCTGTTACACCAGTTCTGTTTTGGTTTCTTTTCTTCTTTGGTTTTCTACACAGTGATTTTGCTGGCTACACCCCTTTTAACATGCTGGAGATAACAACTCACATCACAGCATTAGGGATATTCACATAAGCGCTTTGTCCCCATCTTCAGAAGCCAATGCGGAGTTAAAGAACCCATTGTAATAGTTGTGTTCTGTTGTGTTCGTCTTGCCTTTCCCCTGAGTGTTAAGTGTCGATCAGATACCTTGGCCATTGCTAGCTGCACGAGTCTCTTCACACTGTGATGATACATTTGTGCAACACAAAATATGCATTATACTTGAAAAAAAAAAAAAAAAATCGTTAGAAAACGTATAGGTCAGTTTTACACAATACAGAAAACAAGCACCGGACGTTGCTGCGACATATCTCATCAACAAACAAATAGAGGGAAAAAACAACACAACTCAAAATGATCTGTGCACCGTTTATTTTTCAAACACTTGGTGTCTGGTGATTCCCATCATTCTAATCCGATATCTTAACCATGTTCATATTCAAATGTTCATGTTTTATTGTTTGCTTTTAGAATAACGACTGGCGTCGAGATGGTGAGCAGATCGTTCTAACCAATGGAACAGTTGTGTGCAGGGCAATTGACGGTTTCTGGTCTATAGTTGGTAAGCAAGTCTAATTATTGTTTTCAATGAGCCTTTTTATTTTTTTAAATATAATTTAAATTTTTTTATTTTATTTTATTTTTTTACTTTTATCAACATCATTGCCACCACTTAGTTAGTTAGTCTTTCCTCTTGTGTCGAGTGCGGCACATAGGGCAGAGGTCGTGACTCTCCATGTACGGCGGTCCGTTGCAATCCGTTGTAGGTCTTGGATGTTTGAGTGGCCCATGAGCGAGCCTTCCCTGATGATAGTTCTACGTAGGGTTTCCCTTGGTCTTCCACGAGATCTTTTCCCCTGTGGTGTCCAAATGAGGGCTTGGTAAGGAAGTCTTGATTTATCCATTCTAAGGACGTGGCCGACATAGTTCCAGCGGCGTTTTCGTATAAAATTAGACACATACTCTTGCCTGGATTCTTGCCTTATTTGTGTATTGGTTCGGAAATCTGACCATTTGAAATTTAGTATTCTTCTAAGGCATTTATTTTCAAAACTGTCTAATTTTGTGTCTAGAGTTTTCGTTGATTTCCAACTCTCGCATCCATAGGTTAGTACTGGAATCACACAAGAATTGAAGATCTTGAGTTTTGTGTGTTTGCTAAGTGTCTTTGATTTCCAGATGTTAGACAGTTTATTGAAGGCACTAGATGCCAGTGCTATTCTAAATGATATTTCTGGTGCGGTATCTCCTGTAGATGACATCTTGCTCCCTAGATAAGTGAAACTGTTGACTTTTTCAAGGCTGTTGTTGTTCAGCGTGATATCAACTGAACTGTTGGTAAGGTCTAGAATTTTTGTTTTTGCGGTGTTAATTTGGAGTCCAATTTGTTCTGAGAAATTCTGGAGTCGATTGATTTTTTCTTGGGCCACCACTACCATAATCATAATCATCATCAACAGCACTGTCATTATTATTCATGTAAGTAAATGTGGGTGGTTATGACTTGTCATTATCCACATTCACTAAATGAGGTATTTTTGTCCCGGTGGCGCCATTTGACCAATTAGACATAATTAAGATACACAAAATATTCTCTGTTAATGACAACAGTTGATTTCATTGTCCGTGCATCGACTTATACTGATTCCTCTGTGGTCATTTGGAAGTGGCAGGTGACAAGTTGATTATTGATTTCAATTTAGATTTTATTCCAAGTGTTTTTTAATTTAAAAAATCTTTCCTCAGTCCTACCATGTGGCCTAGAAGTCAACAGTGAACAATGAACAAGCAACTAAGCAGTCAAACCCAATCTCTAAAAATGTGGATATATAGAATAAAATATCGTATTTCGTAGAAACAAAAACATTCGAATATAAAGATTCTAAAGAATTTAGTGCCATAGAAAGAAACTGAAATAATTGAACACATTATACACATTTTTAAAAACATACTGGAGGGAAACGTTAAAGTCAAAAGAGCAAGAGGTAGGCAGCGATACACGTTAGAGGAAACCATTAAAAGATAGGTGAGCAGGGATATGACCGAAGAACTAATCAAGATGAAAGAAAGTGGTATAGGTCGATTGCTGCCAAACTTCTCCATGGAGATGACCTCTGATTAATTGACTTTACAGTACTTCTATAAATGAGTATCAATTAAAGTAACTGTCATCATCATCGAGTATCTTGCCGACTGGCGTGGGCGATAATACCTCTCAACATCTTACTATGTCTAACATCATGTATCAGTTCCTACCTCGGACACCCTTCCATGAAACGACAAACGGCTGTCAAGAAACTTCTCTCGCTGTCATCTACTGTCTCTCTGTCTAAAAATGTTTCCTGCGCTCCTTACATGTTTTGGTAATTCCCAATCTTATAACATTGTCAGATAGCCAGGTACCACGTTTACTTCTTTTTAATGTATTTCCACTCGCTATAATATTATTATCTCCTTACAAGAGACATACTCAGCGACGATGTCCCAAAGAAAGCTAGTGGACGGAGGACGCTTAACCACTTTATAATTTCTTTGTGTTTAAAAAAAAGGTAATGTCGGGAGATGTGAACCAGCCTCACTGCACACGGTTATAAACCATAAGTGCTCTGCCACCAGTACGGACAGCTGACAAGAAATTGTCCGCCTATTAATCACAGAATATTTTGTAGCTGGTGAGTACACACACGTATACACACACACTTATATATATATATATATATATATATATATATATATATATATATATATATATATATATATATGTATGTATATAAGTGTGTGTAACCGAGTGTGTGCTTGTGTGTGTGTGTAGATAGGACGTTTGCCTGATATGCTGACGGTCTGCTTCCTTGTACAGGTACTCAAGCAATTGCTCGCTGCTGCAGTCTCCAAGGGTTGTCCTGCACGTATAAGACTGCTGGGCCGTCAGGTACAGGCGTTGATGACCAGGTCCTGGTTCCCTGCGCAGACACAGAATATCCTTTAGGTGAGTTGGTGAAACATAACTGAATGAATGAATAAACGATAAATGAATGAGTGGATGAATGAATCATTAATTTGCATCACCGCACTTCGGACATTAACACGCGTGCTCTGGACATTAACACGCGTGCTATGTCCCCTCCTTCAGTAGCTAACGAAGAGCTGACATGCTGATAGTACCAGCTGCAACCAGATTAAATGTCGGCCTCTGATTCCCTTTCAATGTTAAGCATCCTCCAGAACCTCTACCCAACCCCCGTTGAATTAGTCTTTCAGTGTATAGTTTCCCGACGATGTGTATAGGGCATATAGAACTGGATCTATATTTTTATCGGCTCAAGATGGGTGATGTAGTCAGGATCACGCCGGCCACCTTTACTACCCGGGACTGCATCCGGTACCAATCAAGGCTGTGTCGACCTGGGAGCCACACTCTTTTTTCACAAATGTCCGATGAGCATTTTAGTTATCACTAAATTAATCATCATCAAATACTGTTTTTATGACCGAATCTTCGGCTGCAATGTTAGACTTTCTATTTTTCCTATATCTTTCACGATGCAAAGATGTCCAGCATCTTTCTCTTTTATTCTTTTCTTGTTTCCATATTCCTCCAGCCTTCTCGTTTTCACATTTAACTCTTATGAAAACGCACATGAGGGATTAAGGAATCCCAAAATTGAAACTTTGTATGTGTCGCATTTTTAGGCTGCGCCACCTGGACATACCAGTCTGAATCCGATGGGACTTTAATTGCAAATAACACCTGCATCTCTCAGAATGATGACCCGGCGGCTGGTGAGTCATTTATGTAGTTGTTTTGTTTCCATTCATTTTTCCAAAACAGAAAGTCTACCCACAGTTTAGCTGTAGGTGGTAAACTTACCTGCCAATCAGGTGTCCTTGTTCGCCTTAGGGGGTGGAGGGTTTTCCAGTGACCTGCATTCTTTGGTCGATCCAGCAAAAGATGGATTCCAGAATATTTCCTGTGAAGTAAAGTTTTCCTGAACATATACAAGAGAAAAGTAACAGACTAAACTGCACAGCAGAAATGATTGGACTGAGAATAAATACAAAGAAAACTAAGATCATGACAAACATTCCAAACCAACAACCAGTGACCATAAATAACCAATCACTTAAAAATGTAGAACATTTCACATATCTTGGCAGTGTGGTGTCCCTACAGGGAGGGACAGAGGAAGACATACAGTCACGTCTGAACAAAGCTAGAGCTGCTTTTGGAAGGATGAGGCAAATCTGGAAATCCAACAATTACTGCAGAGGAACGAAACTCCGACTCTACAAGAGCATCATTTTGCCAGTTCTTCTTTATGGAGCGGAATGCTGGAGAATGACCAAAAAGGATGCACACAAGCTGTCCACCTTCCACCACACATGTCTACGTAGAATTATCAAAATTTTCTTACCAGATATAATTTCAAACACTAAACTACTTCAAGCCACAAACCAAGAAACTTTAGACAGTATGATTACCAAGAGAAGATGGAAATGGCTTGGCCACGTTATGAGAATGACTTCTGATATACCTGCCAAAACAGCTCTCATATGGACACCAGAGGGAAAGAGAAAACAGGGGCGCCCAAAAACAACATGGAGACGAACGATGCAAAGTGACCTGAGTGCGGCATCTTTGACATGGAAAACTGCACTGAAGATTGCACAGGACAGGAAATCATGGAAAGTCCTCTCTGAAGCCCCATGTGCCACTAGGCATAACGAGAACTTATGATGATGATGAAAGTTTTTCTGCATGATTTTAATGATATCATACATCTTGTGCCATTCGGCCTAAAAACACTGATAACCCGTTCAGGAGCTGTTGGAATAACGGTTCCATTCGAGAGCAGAAAAATCCTGGTTAAATTGTTCTCAGGTTTTCTCACCCTGTGTCTTATCCAACTCCAGCGTCTTTTCTTTACCTGTTGATTCGCTGGACCTTGTTTAGTTCTTTCCCAAAACCTCATTGTTTGTGATTTTATCATACCGTTTAATTCCTCCTTTTTTTATTGCCATGGCACCAGGTTAATGAACGTTTGTAGTGTATTAGTTATAACTTTAATTTGTTTCCCATGTTTCCGCTACATACAACAGCAATGATTTGACATTAGAATTAAACGTTTTTAGTTTAGAATACGATTTAGTTTCCTTTAGCTTTGACACATTTCCTAAGGCTAACAAAAACAATCCTTCTACCTTTTGTGTACGTATATAAAAATCTCTATCAGTCTCCTATTTTTACCTACATTCCTGCTCAAACAGGTGTTTGAATACACCTCACAGAGTGGGATTTCGTCAGGAGAAATTAGATTACTGTTGGCCTGGCTAATTATGTTTACCTTTCTTTTAGTCGCTATGGATTTCTAAACATAATCTGCATTCGCTTTCTTTATTTCACGTGTCTAGGCGTGTATTCGTATGCTGCCTGCTGCAAAGGGGGAAGCCTCAAATGCTCGTCTATTGTGTCCGCTCCAAGTGGTCAGAATGTTGGAGACAAAGCTTCAGCGGAGTGTCCTTCAGGCAGTGTTCTCACTGGATGTAATGTTTTCTCCAAAAATGGCCGAGCTGCTGGAGCCTACATTGAAGGTACAGTTCTGATATAAACTGAGATTTATTTTTTTATATGTTGATTTAAAATTTGATTTTTTTTAAATGAGTGTTTTTTTTTTTTAATGAGATGGTTCGGCCACCTGACGAAAATGCTTTGGTACAAATTGTCTCTGCAGAAATATAATGAATATAGAACAAGGGGAAGACCACGCAAGAGATGGTGGGATATCATCAGGAGCAGCCTAACAGAAACGAACACAAACTTGTGCAATGCATTGAAAAATAAAGCGCACAAACGATCCTTGCGTCTTTCCCCAACACCACGCTGAAGTAAATGGTGGAAGAAAAGAAGAAGAAAAAGAAGAAGAAGAAGAAGAAGAAGAAGAAGAAGAAGAAGAAGAAGAAGAAGAAGAAGAAGAAGAAAGAAGAACAAGAAGAACAAGAACAAGAACAAGAACAAGAAAAAAGAAGAAAAAAAAGAAAAACAAAGAAGAAAAAAATAATAATAAGAAGAAGAAGACGAAGAAGAAGGAGAAGAAGAAGAAAAAGAAGAGAAGAAGAAGAAGAAGAAGAAGAAGAAGAAGAAGAAGAAGAAGAAGAAGAAGAAGAAGAAGAAGAAGAAGAAGAAGAAGAAGAAGAAGAAGAAGAAGAAGAAGAAGAAGAAGAAGAAGAAGAAGAAGAAGAAGAAGAAGAAGAAGAAGAAGAAGAAGAAGAAGAAGAAGAAGAAGAAGAAGAAGAAGAAGAAGAAGAAGAAGAAGAAGAAGAAGAAGAAGAAGAAGAAGAAGAAGAAGAAGAAGAAGAAGAAGAAGAAGAAGAAGAAGTAGTTCTATCCGGGATGCAATTCTTGAAGCCACAGGAGGTCAAATCTCCAAGTTTTAAGTTGGAGTGGGGGTTGGGGAAAAAGTGGGAGTTTTGGGGTAGGGGGGGGGAGATATCCTACTGCCACTTACATTCCACCTATGTGATAATTCTACAAGAATTTTACAGTTTGTATAGTAACAAATTGGTCCAGATATATAGGACGTATAAAAAAAGAAACCTTTGACACTTGACTACCAGTCTCAAGGTCTTGGGTTTAAATCCGAGTGTTTTCCTGTGGGCAAATGTAAAAGGCAAGAGGAGTTTTTGTAGACCTGAAAAACTGCGGACGTCAAAGGTAATTAAAACTAGTCATACATTTACAATATTTAGCTCTTATGACAAACAGATCATGCCGGCTGGAGCTGAAAAGCAGAGAACAAATAAAACAATTATTAGTAAGATGCAGATAGTCATTAAATGGTGCCTGCACATAGACAATTGAATGGTGTGACAGAATCATTAAGAGACCTAAACACATTTTAGGGAATCAGGAGGCGAAAAAAGACGCTGGCGCTGAATAGGTCACATCTTGGGGAAACATGAGAACAATATAACTAGTATATCTTCACATTGGAGCCCACAGGGACACATAAATAAAGTCACGCCAAAACACACACACACACACACAAACACGGGCGCATGCGTGCGTGTGCGCACATGGAGGAAGAGATTAGAGAGGGATGGATGCTGACATTTTTAGGAGTGTCTCTACCTTTTACTGTGTTTATGCTTTTCAGAGAAAGATGGCGCTGATGTCTGCACTGCAGTAAATGGATTTATCAAATATGGAGATGAGATTGGCGTTCAGGCGGTAGCCTCATGCTGTCATACGTAATGGAATATTTACAACACTGTTATGATGGGTTATGGTTAAATAAAGTATGCATCTGTACATGAGGATTTATACAATGTTTGCTTATTTTTGTAGTAGTTTTTGTGGTGTTTATTGAATGTGATTGTAAACTGAATATCCTTTCCCACTTGTTGCAAAATGTTTGAATTATACTTGCCCAATAAAAGGTACTTGCATATCCTTTACAAGACGTTGCACAACTAACCACAGCACCTTTTGGCTGATGTGGTTTTTCTAGGCAAATCTACGTCCAGTAGTTTGCCATTGCTTTCTGGATGGTAGGCTTCTGAATGCCAATGCACAGCTAAAGGCCTGTAGCTTGGATCGAACTCAGCACTCCGGCATTACGAAGCGCGTTCGCAACCCCTAAGCCACAGATGCCGACAGTTGCCCAATAATTTCCTAATTAAATCGATCGATATTCGATTCATTCCATTTTAAGAAGTGGTTAGTTGGGCAAATTGAGAAACAAGGCTATTCCAGAATTCCAAGTTCTTTGAGGTTCACTGCTAGGGATAACTCCATTTAATCAGTAACTGGCCTTCTTTCGCCGGTTGATGTCCCAAGTACATTATAGCTTCAAATAAAAACCTTAAACATTTTGAATCAGTTACAAAAACCATGCCATTGTCTTATAAAATGTCAGTATTGTTGTTTAGCAGGTCAAGAATGTTAATCACTGACATCACGATGCAGACGAAAACGGTGACGTCACATGGCAGTTTTAATTTGGCTGCCCCACTTTTGACATGCACCAAAGACAAGTAGCGTTCTATTGTCCATTTTTTTTTTTTTTTTACATTTTTAAAGGAGTGACACCTACAGATATTTAAAGGAAATGAAGGTCCAGTATGGGGACACATGTCTGTCACGTGCTTGCATAGCACTCTTTACATCCTTAATTATACAAATGACAGGTTACAAGACGATTTTTATCAGCTTTGAAGATTCTCTTTTGAAGTCACCTTCATGTTGTTAGGTGTGTTTGTAAATTGTCTCTCTGCAAGCTTCTTTGTATGCCTCGTGGTCTACTTTCATTCAACCGCTTTGTGTTGGTAGTTTTTGTGTCTCTATTACCTGAAATTCTCCCTATGTCTTCCAACCATTGCAGTCTATCAGCCCTCGGGGTGACAATAACTAGTGGCAAGTTTGTTGCTGCTCCTTAATCTTCATTCTTCGATGTTTGTTGCATCAAAAAATTTGCCGACAGACTGTTTTCAATAAAGCTTCACTTTTTATTTAAAGTTTTGCTCCAGGTTTCAGGTGCTTAGAAGAAGACTTGTTTTATTGGTCTGTTATAATATGTGATTTTGATGTTACGAGAGAGAGAGAGAGAAACAGAGAAACAGAGAGAGAGAGAGAGAGAGAGAGAGAGAGAGAGAGAGAGAGAGAGAGAGAGAGAAAGAGAAAGAGAGAGAGAGAGGAGAGAACGCATATGTCATGTTTGCATGTGTAGAGCATAGTTGACTTTTTCCAAACTATTCTAGATTGCCTTTCTCTGGCATGGAATATCAGAAGAAGAGGATGTTGTGTAAGCTAATAATAATAATAATAATAATAATAATAATAATAATAATAATAATAATAGTCATAATTATAAAAATAATGGCATCCGCCAGTCCCTCAGGAACATAGAGATGAGCCGCTAGCTTTTAGCACACCATATGACGTGACTGTAAAGTTCGATGAGGGAGTGGCAGTCTCTGCCAAATAGGATGCACAGAAAAGTAGATACTCCCTCGCCATGAAACTGAATTTCTCTCTGTCGTCTCCTTTCTATAGCTCGCTGCGTTTGGTTTCTTTCAAAATGCGACAATCTGTTTTTCACTTATGTCGCCGCATAGTCCATCTGCAGCTGATTTTTCCTCTCTGTTTGTATTTATAGCAATCGAACAAACTCCCACCCCCCCCCCCCCCCCCACCCACCCGATTCGGCGTGCAGAATCCTCTATCATTCTGCCCTTCTAATCTCTTTCTTTTTTCATGCTTCCTTTGATTCATACAGCGGCGTCCGTGGCTTAGGCGTTGCGAGTCCGACTCGTAATTCCAACGTACCGCGATCGAAACCCACTGCTGGTTGCATGGATTTTTATCATGGTATGTAAAATCAGTCGGCTCTGTGGTGAAGTCGATGCGAACGCAACTAACTTTATGTAAAATCAGGCGCTGTTCCCGCCTCTCAGTTCTTCTACGGGGGCAGCCCCTTTACCGTGTAGGTATCTAAGCATACTCCTTAACCGTAGATTGCGTTGACGTTTTTTTTTTCTGTTTCTGAGTGTACACGCCATTCATGCCAACATGTCCGTCTTCTGTGTGGAAAGTTGTAGAGTCTCCCCATCTGTGTCCTGATTCATCTACAAACTTCCTGCCAGAAATAGGAGGTTGTGAAAGTGTTCTTCTCCGCCTTTGATTATCCAGGGTGGGCTCCCTTGGTGTGACCTTGGTGGGGATCGGGACAATATCCACGCGCCGGTTGGCCCAGCATCGGCCGCACCTATCGGAGGTCGGGGAGGGGGGGGGGGGTGGTGGTGTTTCTACCTGGCTTACCCTAGCCATAGACTGGTATTTTACCCGTTCAGGCATCAGGGGTCCATTTTGTTAGTGATGGAGACTAGCTATGCTCCAGAGCCTTGTCTGTTACAATAGGTAGCACCACGTGTATATACGGTTGGCTTGTTTGGCTGATACGTGGAGACCCTGCCATAGCACATGATGATGATACGTGACCCTACCCCAAACCCCAGCTGACAGCTACCTTATAATCAGTTTGACACTATTTACTATACAACAGATATCTCCCCCCCCCCCACCCCTATTTTGCCACCAAGCAACTCCTCTCTTCCTCTATTCTATTATATAACTATTACAAGACTAGTCCCATCTCTATTTTATTACTATATTTCTTGTTTGTATATATATATATATATATATATATATATATATATATATATATATATATATATATATATATATATATATATATATACTTTTTGTCCCTCGCCATCAAGCTCATCAATATCCGTTGTTTTATTATATTATAATATAACGGGCGGCACCCCAGCCTTATTAAACCATATATCTCCTTATAACCCACACACAAGACCCGCAGCCGACAGGTTCGATTCTCGGCACCCCCCGTGTGGGTTCCGGGGCCCCATTGTAGGGGAAAACAGAAATAGACCCACTGCCTCCCAAAAGCATGTCGTAAGAGTCGACTAATAGGGGAGCTTCCTTTGAAGTCGGAGTGCATCTGCCGGAGAGGCAAGGGACCAACAGTCTGTATTCAAGAGAATGAGATCTGTAAAACTGATGCACACGCAACACTCAGGTTCTGGAGCAGGACTGCAGTTCAGTAGTGGACGAGCAACCAGAACTTTCCGCCAGAGTGTACAGCTGGTGAACGCGAAGAAGAAGAAGATTCCCGGCAAATCTTTTGATTTATCAAAGATGACAACATCGAAGAATGAAGAGTAAGGAACAACAACAAATCTGAATAAACTTCCACCGATTACTGGCACCACGAGGACTCACAGACTGCAATGGTTGCATTATATAGAGAGAATTTCAGTTAATAGAGATACAAAAAACTACGTACACAAAACAGTTGAATGAAAGTAGACCATGAGGCATACAAAGAAGTTTGCAGGGACATAATTTACAAACATACCTAAAAATACAAGCTGATAAAAAGCATCTTGTAACCTGTCATTATTGTGATTAAGGATGTCTAGACGTGACAAGCACGCGTCACCATACAGGACTTTCATTGCCGATGAATTTCTGTAGGCTTCACTCCTTTAAAAATGGATAACAAAACGCTACTCGTCTTTGGTGCCTGTCAAAAGTGGGGGGTGGCCAACTTTAAACTGGCCTATGACGTCAGAGTATTCGTCTGCATTGTGATGTCACATGCTCAACATTCTTGACTTCCTTAATAACAATACTGACATTTTACAAGACAATGGCATGATTATTGTAATAACATGTTTAGGTTTTCATGTGAAGTTCCTTGTACTTGGGTCATCAACCGGTGAAAGAAGGCCAGTTACTGAGTAAATGGAGTCGGGTGTTATCCCTAGCAATAACCCTCAAAGAACTCGAAATTCTGAAAAAGAAAAGCCTTGTTTCACATGCTGCCCAAATCATCATAATCACGTAGCAGGTCCTTTGCAGAACGTCGCTCTCATCACAGTCTGCCTGAAAGAAACTCGGTCTCTTGCCAGTTCTCCCGCCTCAATAACTTTCACACTCAAGGAGTCACTTATATCCTGTGCCAATCATCGTGTCGGTCGGTCCCTGCCCCTTCTTCCTGGTACCATGCCTTCTGCTATATTTTTTTTTCTTCCGTCGTGGCGCTTGATATGACCAAAATATTTCAGCTTTCGAGAAAGGATGGTGTTTATTAGCCAATCTTCCTCTTTTAAGATGTCAATATTTCTCATCTTCTTTTGTCCAAGATATTCTGAGAATCTTTCTTTAGCATTTCAGCTCAAAAGCCCCAATTCTCTTTCTTAAGGACTGAGAGTGCCCAAATCAACACTTCTTAAAAGCGCATTGAACCGACACGTTATTCCTATAGTCCACTGTGTGACGCTGGCTATAATGTCTGTACGATCATGTCAGTCGACAGTCGTGTGTCACAAGTACTGTTTATCATTTCTTATACAGATGTTTTAATACGTCCGATACCAAACTCTCAAGTCTTGGTCTCATTATACATCTCCCATATTATCACCACGTACACTAACATTGAACGGTTAGAACGCTGTACTCTCAAGCGGAAGACCTATGTTCGAATCCTCGGTAAGGCTGCTGATTTTTTCTGTCGGGGGAAAAAATCCTCACCTGCACAGTCGTGGCAACAGCACTAGCCATGACGACTTAAAACCTCAGGCTCAAAGCCCCCATTCTCCCCCCCCCCTTCTGTTTTTTGCCCCTGCCTACACGGCAACAGTGATACAACAAAGGCAGTAATTGGCAGTAGGGAAGTTGGCACCAACATTCACTCTTCTCATGTAGTCCTCAAAGAAGATTGTTGATTGTCAGTTTTGGATGAGATTAATCAGTTCTGTTTGTTAAATAATTTAACACTTCCCCTCCCCCACTTTTTTATGTCTATTTAACCTCGTCACTGTTAAGAGTTTCAGTGTCCTTGCCTTTTTTTCCCGTCCTGTTAAACCATATCCCTACATCTTCCATTTACCGTTCACATAAAAATTAATACTGACCACGCCATCAGCTGAATTTTTTCTTTCCTAATTTTACCCATCTAGATTTGTTCTCTGTAGCATTAACATCCCAAGGACGAGAATCAGACAGGTACAAATCATGTACATCATTTTAGCACAGTTATACTGGGGCACAACAAAACAGTTACAAAAAAACCTGAAGTCCAGTGAGAGTGAGTTCAACAATGGAATATTGATCGATTCAAAAAGTAAAGTGTAAGGCTAGTGTCATTTAGCCAATGTGCATAACAAGTGTGAAAGGGTTTTCAGTTAACTAACACATTCAACAAACACCATGAAACTACTACAACAAAAAGCCAAACAATGTAAATCAGCGGGTACAGATCCATAATTTATTTAACCATAACCCATCACAAAAGTGTGGTAAATATTCTATTACGTATGACAGCATGAGGCTACCGCCTGAACGCCAATCTCATCTCCATATTTGACAAATCCATTTACTGCAGTGCAGACGTCAGCGCCATCTTTCTCTGAAAAGCATAAACACAGTGAAAGGTAGAGACATCAGATAACGCCACTGCTGATGAAGTGAAACACTAAATTACGTTTTTTCCGTTTTATGTTTTCCCCGCTTTAGTAAATAAAGTATATGCTCTTATTTGCACATCGGTCAATTTGTCGGAGATCAAGGCTGTACAACCTTAGTCCGCGGGAGAAAAAGAAAACAAAATCCATTATAAACAAAAAACTCATTGGTTAACTGTTAAAAAAAGATGGTCAACATTCATTAGCATTGGGTTCAGGGACGAAAAACAAAACTAAACCATCTCAGATACATCCTTTAAATTTTATGGGGAAAGGGGCGCTGTCACTCCTGTCTGTTTTACCCCGGTGGTGTAGACATGGGGTCGGCAGCCTGAGGATTTAGGGCCACTTAGCTGGTGCCATCGCCACGGACTGTGCAGGTTAGGATGTTTTACTTTTGACCCCGACAGAAAAAATCTTATTACCTTACTTTGTCGAACCCGAGTCTTCCGCATGGGAGCCCGACGTTGTAATCGCTAGGCTAGCGGCTCCTCGCACATCCTCTAATCAATCAGGCAAAGACGCATAGCCGGTTATTACCGGACGACTCTGGATGTAACGCATGGTCATACTGTATGCACCTAGGATAAACAATTTTCATCGTCCTCATCGAAATATGATTGATAACTTTCAATTTAATTCAAAACCTTGCTAGCCATGTATGTCCTTCAACTGTCCTATTTTGGTTAAAACGTTACATCTGGTATCACTCATGGAATTTTTTAAAGAGCAGTATGTAGGACGTTTCGCCATCTGACGACAATGCCGCTGTACAAAGTGAAACTGAGAGTCGAGCTGAAGAATTCTAAAGAAAGCAGAGCACGGGGGAGCAGTCATAAGACTTAACAGCGGCATCAAAAACAACCTTCAAAGAAAAGCAGTTTAAATTTATGCAAAGAACACACAGGTTTCCATGAGTATTCCTGCAACATTTCGAGAGGAAAGTGGAGGAAGAAAAGAAGATCATGGATACAAATATCGATACCTTAGAAAATATTTAGAAACAAAATGTCAATACATATCAAATTTTTACTTTCAATGTAGGCTCCTGCAGCTCGACCATTTTTGGAGAAAACATTACATCCAGTGAGAACACTGCCTGAAGGACACTCCGCTGAAGCTTTGTCTCCAACATTCTGACCACTTGGAGCGGACACAATAGACGAGCATTTGAGGCTTTCCCCTTTGCAGCAGGAAGCATACGAATACACGCCTAGACACGTGAAATAAAGAAAGCGACTGCAGATTATGTTTAAAAATCCCCAAGGGTAAAAAGAAAGGTAAACATAATTAGCCAGGTCAACAGTAATTTAATTTCTCTTGAAGATATCCCACTTCATAAGGTCCATTCATACACCTGTTTGGGCAGGTATAGATATAGAAACTGAAATATATTTTAAACTACGAATACGAAAGGCAAGTGGAGTTTTTATGTTCCTAGGAAATGCGTCTAACCTTATAGGAAATTAAATGGCTTCCTAAACTGAAACCGTTTAATTGTAATGCCAGAAGCATAGGAAAAAAAAAGAAGGGAATCAAATGGTATGATTAAAATCAATAATGCTAAGCTTTGTGAAAGAACTAAACAGTAAATCAACATGTAAAGAAAAGACACTGGGGTTGGATAGGACACACGTTGTGAAAACCTAAGAACAATTTAACTAAAGTGTCTTTACACACGAGCAGAACCGTTTGACCCAAGGGCTCCCGAGCTGGTGATGATTGTTTTCAGGCCGAATGGCACACGATGTATGATATAATCAAAATCATGTAGGGTAACTTTACTTCACAGGAAATATTCTGGAATCCATCTCATGCAGGATTGACCCAAGAATCTAGGTCATTGGAAAACCTACCTGCCCCCAGTGTGGACACAAAAACCGAGTTGGTAGATAAGTGTACTACCTACGGCACATTCTGTGGATAAATTTAACATAAAAGCGACATAAATGACTCACCAGCCGCTGGGTCATCATTCTGAGAAATGCAGGTGTTATTTGCAATTAAGGTTCCGTCAGATTCAGATTGGTATGACAGCGTAGAGCAGCCTGAAAATGCGAGAAACAAAGTTTAAATGGATTTTGTGGATAACTTAAACCCTCATGTGCTGGTTTGAAGGAAAACAGGAAGGCTAGGGGAAAAGGAAACAAGAAAAGACTAAGAGAGAAATATGACATCGTGGCATCGTCTTAGATATAGGGTAGATAGAGAATGTGACATTGCAACCCAAGATTCAGTGCATTTGATGATGATTATTACAGTGATAACGATAATGCTCATAAAATATTCATGGTAACATTCATTTTTAAGAAGTCATGATGATAAAAAGTGCTTTACACCTAAAGAAATAATGGTTTTCCATTTTTAACTGATGTTGGATTGAAGCTTTCTTCTCTTAATCGCATCGCTTTCACACTCTTATAAAAGTCTCTTGGTGATTCTGTACATTGCTGTGTTAGGTGTTCACCATACTTTTTCCATGATTCCTCTTTGGATTTCTTTATTGTTCTCTTGGTGTCTCTTCGAGTTAGTCTGTACCTAATGTAATCCTTTTCGTCTTTTGTTTTTAACCATATTTGAAACATCTTCTTTTTATTTGACACTGCTTCTTTGACTTCTTCATTCCACCAAGCGGTACCCCTTTTCTTGCCTTTGCCCGTCTTTCTGGTACCACACTTGTCTTTTAATATCTTCGTGATGGTTGATTTATAATAATCCCATTCTTCTTCAATTCTTACTGGTTCCTTGGCAATATCTGCAAAAGCCTTTGTTATTTCTAGTTCAAATTCATGTTTGATATTCTCTTCCTCTAATTTCTTAGTGTTGATGATTTCTTCCCGTTTCTGTTTGTGTAGACTGTTTCTACTTGAGTTGCATATGTTCATAATTACTGGGCGATGGTCTGAAACCAGTCCCGCATTTGGGACAGCTTTTGAGTCTCTTATGATGATAAATGCTCTCACCTAAAGACATTTGAAAAAGTTGTCTTTTGTTGTTGTTATTGTTGAAAATGAAGACTGGACAAACATGAGCATTTATTTACAAAGTCATTTGCAACAAGTGGAAGTGTGGTAAACAACTCGAATTTAAAAGGGGAAAACAAAAGTCTTTTATTTTTAAAGACAAAACAGTAAATGCTTGAGTACTTTGAGGCAACAATGAAAACTCAATAAACATTCAATAAATTCAGAAGAATAATATGTGAATGAAAATGAAATACTGATAATTGATTACTGATTCAGGAATCGAACATCATAGATGCTCCATTCCCTGCAGCAAATGCCCCAAACTGCAGGTGCTGTTTCCACACACATTGATTACAATCACTCTCTCAGACGTCTCTCTTTTTTCGCTTGACCAACTCCTAATTCAACGTTCTCACATTCTCACACATGTGATTTTATTAAAGTCTTCTATAAATGGTCTCCATCGTGTCCCTCTTGTCCAGTACAGTTGTCCCTGTAACTGTCACTTTTGTAGCCAAAGATCGCTCTTTCATTCCCTGACACTCCTGTCACGGGCAGTATATCATGTTGAGTCCCTGTAATGCTGAGGTACTGACGCCTAGTATCCGCCCATGACACTTTCTCCATATTGAACCCTCCGCACTAGCGACTAGTATCAGATACTATAAATCTTCTGGTTGCTATGTTTTCTTCTATCCACTGCAGAGCTGCATTGATGGCCTCCACCTCAGTCAGCATGCTTGAAGTTGTAGATAAATAAGAAGATATAATTCATCATCATCAAGTATTTAAGAGCATGAGCTGATCGTGAAGCCCCATTATTCCCTTCCACAGAAGCTGTCGTATGCTGGTCTACTTAATGTTGCGTATGTCTGAGCAGTTAAGATCAGTGGAAGCTTGTTTCATAAATGCTGTCATTAGTCTACTCATCTTATGTTTATTAGTAGTGTGCCCTTTCGGTATTCGTTTCGTTTTTGGCTCATGTCTAAAAGTGTCCTCAAACCATAAGACACTTCAATATTTGTTAAGAAATCCTTGTTTAGTTAAAATTTCTAGACTGTTTATTGTCAGTTAAGTCAATTCAAATGTTACACAATACAAAAACCGAATCGGAATTGCCTGCCACATTTAACATTTGGGCCACAGTAATTGCTGTATATATGCTCTAACCCAATTCACTAGTTAATTTGTTTCCTATTTAAGTATTCAATTTCGTTTTCGATTCTGCAAATATTTCTTGTTTCATCTTTTATTACTGAATTTTTGCTTCTGAAATTTATTAGCCGCTAGATTTCCCTCCATATGTGCAATGAAAGAATGTTTTTGCATCGGTCAGCGACTAAGCTGAGTGGATGGTGCGACACCGTGAGCTGTGGATTTTAATTTGATATGCTTTTGGACTGTACCCAAAGCGATCTCTGTTGTGATGGCTAACAGTCTCTTGCCACAGAACTAGTGGTGCCATGTGGGTTTAACTGCGTGTGAAAATCTCTGATTTGTTGTAACTGCTGTTTGCATCGACAATAAACTATATATCCTGTATCAGATTGTTTGTGTTGGCATCTCGACTGCTGCCGTGTACATGTGAAGCGTGTGTATGCTACTGGCTTTGCTGAGACTAGAGTTTGCGTCCATTGTTTTGTTTCACAAGAGATAGTGTTGGACATCCAGGTGGTTTTCGCTAGCACAGAAATGGGGCAACTATGCAGTGAAGTTGGAACTATGATTACCTGAATACCTACATTCTTCAGCCAGTCAAACAATATGACATCTTTAAGTAGCAAATTAGGTATATTCTTCAAACTCTAGTCAAGAAACATTAGAGTACTTCTGCTTTAAATTACATATATAATTTTCAACAACTCACAATTCATGTAGTGACCTTGAACGCAAGGCTCTCTGTTTTCAAGCAGTGTCCATTCACCTTTTGTAACAAAACCCCATCCACTCTCCTTACCTCTCACTACAAACCCATCTGTATATATCATGATGTCACCTAGGCGTGAATTTTCATTGATCAGCTCTTGCACCGCTGACTCTGTTTCACCAGCTCTCCATTCCCGGCACTTTGATCTAAAGAAACTATCACTCTGTCCAAGTCTTGTTAGCTGGGCGGCGGCACTGTAACCCATTCTTCACCACGCGTTAACTAGTCAGTAGCACCCACAGCTCTGATCGACTAGAAAATTAAGGTGTGCGAGGTAACGAGCAGTCTGATAGATCGGCTGGTGACGCTCCTCTGGGCTGTGAGCTACTATATGATAAACAAGATGTTGTGAAGGGTCTAGGTGATCAAACAGACAATGCAAACGAACAGATCGGGAATCCATACACTGAAAGAAAAATTCCATGGAGGCGAGGGATGGGGGGTGTTTTTAGAAGATATTTAACATTTAAGGGGAAACAAAGGAGAACATTTAGTCACGTTGCAGCTGGTACTATTAGAATATCAACTCTTTGTTGGTTACTGAAGAAAGAAAAGGAGCACGTGTTTTAATATCCCGAGTGCAGTGATGTCAGTACTTGATTTAACCATTCATTCATTCATTCATTCAGTTATGTTTCACCAACTCACCTAAAGGGTATTCTATGTCTGCGCAGGGAACCAGGACCTGGTCATCAATGCCTGTACCTGATGGCCCAGCAGTCTTATACGTGCAGGACAACCCTTGGAGACTGCAGCAGCGAGCAATTGCTTGAGTACCTGTACAAGGAAGCAGACCGTCAACGAATCATGCTAACGTCCTAACTACACATACACACAAACATACACTCAGTTACTCACGTAAAAAAATAGTTGTATCTATATTTGTATATATTACATGTCTGTATTCACAAGCTACATGAGGATATTTGATCAATCAATCTTCTATACATGCAAGACAATTTTAACATTTTCCCCCGGGTAATTACAACTGCACCAACACTCAGTAGAAAATTGAAAATTCACTTAGATATGACAAACAATCTCTGAAAACAGAATATTTCTTGGGATATGTTGACGCCTTAGGGATTCCCTTAGCTGTAAGCAGCACAGAGTAGAGCTCACCTGATTGCATCCCAAAAGTTTATTGAAGGCGGAGGATGTGGTCTAAAGCCATATGGATGCGAAAATAAGGGGTGGAAATTATCACCATACTCATCTCCAGAAACCAGTTATAACAAACTAGGAAGAAATACAAAAATCAAATCGTATGACGTTACTGGTAGGGAAAGTCCTTTTCGTGAACAAAAAGCAAATACAAGTACCACACAGAGCCGGAACATGGGGCTAAGGCACATTGAGAGCATCTCTCCCCCAATAATATTTTTATTGTGCACTTAAACAAAGTTGAAGGACCTATAAATTATCAGGTGGTTAGGTGTCGTTCTTCACCAAATTTCTTTGGGACAGCGTCACTAGGCATGGCTCTTGTCAGGAGATAACAATATTATAGCATGGGAAATGCATTAAAAAGAAGTAAGCATTAAACCTGGCTATCTGACGATGTTATAAGATTGTGGGGGGGGGGGGGATATGCATCCTTTACATTAAAAGAGAGCAGGAAACATTTTTTAGAAAGGGAGATGGAGGAAGACAACGATAGAAGATTCTTGACAGCCTTTTGTCTCATATTTTCTATGGATTTTATACTTAATAATAAAAAGAATCATCGCCGGAGCTACGTAGTGCGTGCTCTGTACCTGATACCATCTTTTTGTCGCAACGGAGAGGGTGGGAAGAGGAGAAGAGTAAAACAAAGCATGGTATATGCGACAGCAACGTCTAGTTTAAGAATGGGGATGGGGGCAGTCACTGCTGCCTTCCGTTGACTTGAGAATCAGCTGTACACACATGCCGTCATTTTAACTGACTCACAGAGCATCTTGAGCAAAGTGGAGACAAGCATGCTCCTTGCAGAGTGGCAAGCATCAATTAGTGGTGAATTGATGCACGACAAGCTATATGTTGCAAGGGCCCGCTGGAAACGACTGAACATTGCCGAGGCACACATATATCATTACGGTCTGAGGAGAATGGCGCTGCACGGAGTTACATGGCGATTTGACAGACGCTCAGCATTCAAAACAAGGGCGAGACGGATTTACAACCAGATAGTTACAGAAACTACTGGAACTGGAACTCTTCGCTTGCTGCTGATGATGGTGACGTCCCGAGTACTGTGATATCGAATCTTAACTCCACATTCAACATTCTACCCACATGATTGGGTTGAAAAAAAGTATTACCAATTATAAAACACACTAAACAACAGTCACAATAATAGTGATCACAAAAGGGGTTCGAACCTCCATATGAACAATGATGTTAATGATGTTGATGATGATTATGATGATGGTAATTTATACAATTAAATGTTATTATTTTATTGTATATTATTATTATTATTATTATTATTATTATTATTATTATTATTATATTTGTATAATATAATTCATATTATTACAATATTAGCAAAATAATTTGGCTCAATGAAAGCAATAATTGCACTAATTTACCAACTGTAGACCGGAAACCGTCAATTGCCATGCACACAACTGTTCCATTGGTTAGAACGATCTGCTCACCATCTCGACGCCAGTCGTTGTTCTAAAAGCAAACAATAAAACATAAACCACGAACTTGAACATGTTTAGGATATTGTATTACAATGCTGAGAATCAGCAGACACCAAGTATTTTACAAAATAAGTAGGAGCACGGATCACTTTATGTTGTATCTTTCCTATATTTGTTTGCCTATGAAATATATCACAGTTAAGTCCGGTGTTGGTTTTCTGTATTCTTTAAATTTGACCTATACATTTTCTAATAATAGTTGTTGAATTTATAAGGCATATTTTATATAGTGCAGAAATATGTCATCACAGTGCGAAAAGACTGGCACAGCTAGGAATGAATAAGGGATCTGGCCGACACTTATCACTCAGTGGAAAGGCAAGACGAACACAACAGACTACAACTATTACGATATGAGCTGGAACTCCGCATTGGTCGCTGAAGATGAGGACGAAGCTCTTATGTGAAAATTCCTAATGCTATGATGTGGGTTCTTAACTCCAGCAGTTAAAAGGGATGTAGCCAGACCGAAGCACTCTGAGAAAACCCACAAAAAATAAGAACCCAGACAAGAACGCTATGAGAAAGCCAAACAGAATAAGAAACCAACACAGAACTTGTGTCTAAAGCCGCTATAAGCTTCGCTGCAACTAGGATAATTTGTCGACTAACTAAATTCTTGTATGTATACTGCGTATTGATAAATGCCATTTACCCTATTTACCTTCAGGTAGCTGGAGCACCCGGTCAGAACCTCATCACTGTTGCAAGCTACATCGACTCTTATGTCGTCCCCAATCTCTGACTCTGCAGACTTCCGGGTGACACATGACAGTTTTGCCGAGGTGGATGTTGATGCCGCTTGTCCGACTACGTACATGTTCTGAGTCGTTGTCTCGTGTATGATGTCCACGTGCTCGAATGGGTCCACCACAGGAGGTAACCTAATTTCACCTGGAAAAAAAAATTTAACTACCTTGTAAATTTCCACTATCAGGGTTAACTTCCTGAGAAGTCATAGACGTTGACTAGTAGAGATCACTTTAAAAAAAAAAGCAGGAAAAAATGCAATGTGTAAGGTAGGGAACGGCAGTTGACACCCATGTCATTTCCAGGTGTTATCTTCTTTTTAGTGTTTAAGTAGAAAGTTACGATTTATCGCCCACTTCTGGACTTCGTTCTTGTTCCCGTAATTGCATATTGCGTACACGTCTGTTTTATACAGATTTGTCTAAATTCTACACAGACTGTTGATTCCTCGCCCTCAGGGCGAAGAAAACATCACTAATTAGTCGCCTTTTACGGCAAGTTTGTTGACCGTAAAGGGGGAGGGGGGTTGATCGGAAGCTATTCGCGTGTTTGACCTAAAGGGTGCCTCAGAACCAACACGGGGACTTCCCAGACATTTCCAAGCGATTACAAAAACTCTCTGCCATTTTTATGAAGTTGTGTAAATTTTTAAAAAAAAAAAAAAAAAAAAAAACTGCACTAGACCTTCACTTTTTGGTGAAGTTTGAACATAGACCAAGGTATCATTTTTGTTTCAGAGATATCAGGTAATCAGGGAACCGCAGTCCGAACTTCCTAGCAAACGGGTCACCGCATAGTTGCTCCTTTCAATAGTCAACAATAACCACACAGAATGTCCGTCCCAGTCCGTTGTGAACAAAAATTGACACAGGTTCTAGTCTTAGCAGATTCAACAGTGTACACGCCCTTTCAATACATAAGCAGAATTCAGAAGTGCTAACACAAACAGTCTGACACTGGAGATGTCACCTATAGCTTCCGTTCTGGTTGAGAATCACACTGCATGTGGATGAGATAAGAGCTCCGGTATACCTCCGGACATCACACACAAATAATCTTATCACAACCACTCATCTAGAGCATCAACAAAGATTCCGTTGTGTGTAACTAGAACTATACATGCTTTCAATCTTGTGTGATTATGTGATTGTGTGTTTGCGTGCGCGTATATGTGTGTGCGCTCGCGTAAACGTGTATGTGCGAGTGTGTGTGTGTGTGTGTGTTGCTTCTCGGATATTTTTACCTGAGCAGCATCACACTTCCCTGTCTTGTAGATTTCCAACTGTCGATGGATTATTATCACTTATGACTTCTAAGTTTCTACATGTGTCCCGAATGTCTAGACGTTTATTTCTCTAAAACTCGAAAAGAAAGGCCAGGACCATACCATCCTTTCCTAATTTTGCTAAAGAAAATCCCAAAAAGACGACATCTTTTTTGAACCATATGTGCTTGTGTCAGAGCCACTGTATACGAGAAAATCATATGTTTTGATATTTACCCAATATACTTACTTCCGTCTCCATTTATGTTGATATTGACATTCTTGTTACTTTTGCCCAGAGAGAAGGAACTAATCTGTATGGGTTTCCCTCGATAGTACACCGTCACATTGTAGTCGCCTTGGAAACCCTCCACGTCAAAAGATGTTCCGTCTGCCAGAGATTTGTTTTCATGGGTGCTCCAGTCTTTCTTGGTCAGTCGGAGAAAGCGCTTGCCAGCTTCATCCAGCTATTGTGTCAACAGAGAATGTATCAGTTTAATGTCAGCGACCAGTCTTTTTTTTTTTTTTTTACAGCAAAAACACATAACTATTTAAAAAATACGTTTAAAATTGCATGTATCAATTAGTCTTTCAATGAGGATAAAATATGATGGTGAGGGGAAATCTAGGATGGAATTTCAACTTCTTGAATGGGCGTTAGCCGCGATTATCTGAGAGGGAACAAAGGGAGAAAAGCAGGGGGAGGAAAAGCGTGGACAAAGAACCAGAAGAGAGGGGAGGAAGAGGGGGAGAATTGTGAGGAAGAATAAGAAAAAGGAAAAGAAGAAGAAGAAGAAGCAGAAAAAGAAGAAGAAGAAGAAGAAGAAGAAGAAGAAGAAGAAGAAGAAGAAGAAGAAGAAGAAGAAGAAGAAGAAGAAGAAGAAGAAGAAGAAGAAGAAGAAGAAGAAGAAGAAGAAGAAAAAGAAAAAGAAGAAGAAGAAGATGATGATGAAGAAAAAGAAGTAGAGGAAGAAAACAATAGGGGTAGGATCAGAAGAAAATGAGGAAGAATTAACAAGAAGGACAACCATAATGCTGTTTTTAGCGTAAATCTATAAACTACCCATGCGTTTTCAGTAATTTGCTATTCCACAAGTGCATTATATGTTTATTAATAAATGGCTGTACTGATATCTAGTTAGGAATTGCTGTTTTATTGTTACACTGGTATTGTAGTTGCTATACGGTTTTATAACTGTGTGGTTCATGTCCAAACTGTTACAGACAACTCGACTTCAAGTGATGGCAAAAACAAAAACAGAACAAAATGAACCAGAAAAACAAATGAAAGTTATCCCAATAAAAGCGTTTAAAAAATGAGCTTCGACGGGGATACGAAATTACCTGGCCTGCAGACAAGAAGCCATGAATCATCAGACCCCATCCCCCCCCCCCCCGCATGTTCTGCATCACCATAAGAAGCTGAAAATTCAGGTGGTAAAGATAGTTAATCATCTGGCTGAACAGGGTTTCTGGGAATGGTTCTAGTTAAGCTTGCAAAAATAAAGCGGCTCTTTGAGTCATCGGTGTCAGTAAATCAGACCGGCGGGGAATTCATTCGAAGACAAGAAAGAAAAAAGACTGTGTGTGATTAAAAATGCTTACGGTATATCCATATCCATGAACCATTGCTTTAAGTGGATCTGTTTCGTGATCCCAGAAACCCCAGAATATGACTCCATGAAGAGCTGGATGACTGAAGTAGAGGCGAAGAACTTTCTCATACCTGAAACAAGTTGTTTACAATTTAGAAAATTGATAAATCTGTTAAAAACGTTTAGTACTTTCTTTTTTGATGTGTTGTGAGCGACCATGTCTGGCACTGGTAGCATATGACTGGAATGAAAATGTTGTGAAAGAGATGTTTCTACTGCCGACCTATATCTCTCCCTCTAAAATCTTGTGTGAGGGTTGGGAGGGGGGGGGGGGGGGACAAGGGACCTAATTCTGGGACAAGGTGCCTGATTCTAGTAAAAGGCACCTGATTCTATGACAAGGAAACTGATTCTGAGACAATGTGCCTGATTTTTGTCAAGTTTCATGATTCTTTAGGGACTGGTGAGCCTGCCATTTTATAACTGGACACGCCGGCAAGCATGCATGTAATTGTGAAAAATAATCACGGGTGATCAGTAATAAATGATGGAACTAACCAGTCTGCCCTCTTGCTCTCATCAGGTGCAGCCAAGTCCAGTTCTGTGACCCAGAGAGGCACGCCAGCTTTAGCCAGATGGTCCAGCCGAGCCTGGGGAACAATGATACAACTATCGGTAACAAAACACAGTTGTACTATCGCAAGCACAATTATAACCACACATAGCAAGAAGGATATTCTTTCCAGTATTTGTAACTCATATTTAATTGTTGTTGATGATGTTTAGATTATGCAACCAATTAGACTTAAAACATTTTTGGATTTGGTTTATAAATGTATTTTAAAAAAATATATCAAGCAATCTAATGATAATTAGAGCACATTCTAGCGTTTGAAATTAAGTTTTAGATGTACGAAATAACTTGTAGTCTGAAAGTCTGGTAGTCTGGTAGTCTTAGTTTCAGCTTCATAGCAAACGGGTCACCCCATCTTTGCTCCGCTCCTGTGCCAATTAAAAAAAAACACACACACAAAATGTTTATCACAGTCCCTTGTGGAAAGATTGACAGACTGCTGTCTCAGAATATCTAGCATACACTCACATTAAAGCATACGGTAGCCATCCGAAGTGCTAACACAAACAGTCCGACATTAGAAATGCAGTTCATCATTGATGGTAGCACAAGTCACCAACAGACCAGCAGTTGCCCACGCGATCAATGTTACTCACATACGGCATCACGCTATTTCTGAATCTACAATTGACATCACCAAGTTGGTCACAGCCGAAAAAAACATTTCAAATGAAATCCGCAGCTCACAGTGTCACGCCATGCATTCAACTCAGAAGCTGGGCGACGAATCTATATCAAGTCAACAAATGGAGCAAAAATGCATCGGCCACCGTCCGGCAGAAGCAAAAAATGTGCCTCGGCTGCGAACAGCGCCCCTGCCTAGCGTCCATTTTAACTGTATACAAGGCGTGGACTAGAAAGGCAGACTATTAGATGGGGCTGCTGCCTAATTCTTAACCATTTGAAAAATAGCTTGTTCTATCTATCTAATCTATCTATCTATCTAATCTATCTATCTATCTATCTATCTATCTATCTATCTATCTATCTATCTATCTATCTATCTATCTATCTATCTATCTATCTATCTATCTATCTATCTATCTATCTATCTATCTATCTATCTATCTATCTATCTATCTATCTATCTATCTATCTATCTATCTATCTATCTATCTATCTATCTATCTATCTATCTATCTATCTATCTATCTATCTATCTATCTATCTATCTATCTATCTATCTATCTATCTATCTATCTATCTATCTATCTATCTATCTATCTATCTATCTATCTATCTATCTATCTATCTATCTATCTATCTATCTATCTATCTATCTATCTATCTATCTATCTATCTATCTATCTATCTATCTATCTATCTATCTATCTATCCATTCATCCATCCATCCATCCATCTATATGTCTGTTTGTCTGCATGCCCGTCTGTCTGTCTGTCTGTCTGTCTGTCTGTCTGTCTGTCTGTCTGTCTGTCTGTCTGTCTGTCTGTCTGTCTGTCTGTCTGTCTGTCTGTCTGTCTGTCTGTCTGTCTGTCTGTCTGTCTGTCTGTCTGTCTGACTTGTCTATCTTCATATCGATCCATCCATTAACCCGTCTGTTCGCCCGTTCGTGTGTGTGTGAATGAAAACTAGCGTCTAATAAAACAGTTGCAACATTTTATCTAAAAGATTACATTAAATTTACATTTGATCTCACAATGACTTGACATTTCCGGAGATAAATATCCCAGCCAATGTTGACGATTTAACACTGACTTACCTTGAGCAATGTAGGATCTGGTTCCGTCAAGTCCTGCAAGTGGCTCTGTACACCCGCGCCACCCAAGCCAACTTTGGCGGCCTTGAACGTGTTGATCTGATCAAGGTATTCCTGGACAAATGGAAATAGATAACGATGTGGCATATAAAGGCCAAAAGCTCGCTTTAAGTAAAAACGCCATGGCGTTAAACCAGCTCGAAAAAGCTTTTGTATATAATAATATCTTTGCATGGTTATCCTTCACGATTGTGGTACTTCTAAAATTCTTTTTCTGAATCATTGTTGCATTTATGTTATTTTGGCTGTTCTACGTAATATGGTGCTTCTTGGTGCCAAACTGGGTGCTTCTCTTCCTTATCCATAGAGGTTTCTTATGGGGGTTATATGGCTTTGTTTCCAGTAAGGACTAGTCCCTAGGAGGACACATTGTGTGGGTTACTCCTGCTGATCGGGCACACCTACCCTACCTTTAAATCAGCGAACAGTTTAGTCTATTTCAAGCTAGGCTGACCTGAAATCTCAGATCCATTTGTAAAATCCACCTTGCTGTTCACTTTGCTCACTTTCATAATCCATCGAAACTGGGTCTGTTTGTCTTCACTGCCCATTGTAGCTTATTGTTCATGGTAAACACTTTAAGAGGTTTCTTTAAAATTGTAATATTCAGCAAAGTCTTTAAAATCACTCTATGGTAACAAATCCACACCGACAAGTACTGGTACGTTCTTTACATTATTGTGAAAAAAAAGTATAATGTTAAATGAAAATAGCAAACCAAAATATTTAGACTTTGAACTAAAGATTCTTCCTCTTCTTGGCATTCACCAGCTGTAAACTCCAATGGAAAGTTTTCTTCTCCACCTCTTGACTTAGTCTTGTTCCGGAACTAAGTTTTATTTTCGTGTACATCCATTTTACAGGTCTGGCTGATTTGTATGCAGAGTGTTAGTTCTTCGTCTTTTATACAGATGAATT